ATGTTAGACAAAACTTACAATATCATTGCCTAACATTGGATACATATCACCGGAGACAAATCTCAATTCTTTTAATGCTTTCGTTAACGCGAATATCAAACGTGTAAGTCGGGCCAAGCAGCAACCCTTATTTTTTTCCGAAATTAATTATCTTATTTTTTCCAATTTAATTTTATAAAAAACAAATAAATGAAAGAAGAAAGAATGTAGAAATAACTAGTAAAATATAAAAGTCACAAATTTTCATGTCCATAATGCTGCAAAATCTACCTAAATGAACGGGAATTCTTACGAATTATACAAAGCAGCCAAGACAGTCCTTTATAAATGATATTTAAATTAATTAATTATATATCACCGCCTAACGATCACCTATGAAACAATAGAAACTTTTTCCATTTTTCCTTCTTTATTTCTTTCCTTCTTTATTTTGCTTCTTTTTTTTGAATCTTCTTTTTCTTCTTCTCTTCTCTTTTTTCATTTCTTTTTTTCTTTCCGAATTTTTTCTATTATTTTTTCACTTTTGATTTTTTTCTCTTTCCATTTCAATGCGATAATAAGTTGTAAACAATTGAGGGAAAAGACAAAAATGGGAAATTTAAATGTTTACAATTTGCAATCATTCGGAAATGCGCAAATATCAGATAATATCTCAACTCATTTCTTTCTCTTTTTTATGAATTAACTCCCCGGAAATTTCACAAAAAAGGGAAGCAATTTGCAAATATTAATGAAAACGTAACGGATCGATTACTTACGTGAATTAATCTATAAACAAAGTTCAGTAAAACTGGCGTACTTTAATTAATCAGATTGATTGACTGTTAAGAAACTAAACCATTGGTTAGGTTAATTCATTCCTCTATTTTAACACTTAGTCGCAGTTTAATTGACTTTAAATTGGAAGAAATCTAATTTGGCTCTATCTAATTGATTTCAATTCAATTCAAATACATTCGCAGTTAAGCGAGGAACTATTTTGTTTTTCCAAGTACTTAAAATCGCAACTGATCTATATAAAAATAAGACACCGATCTTAGGCCTTTCCTCTGTGCCAGATGCAGGATAACTCCGATAAAGTGCTCTAACAGTAGCTCATTTGCACACCAAATACCAAACATTGTTATCTTTACATCTAATGTAGTATCAAAGAATGGGAAACAACAAGATCGAGTGAATCTCTTAAATTGGCATTTGTTCTTCTATCATTCCAAAAATTTAATCCACACTCGAATTTCCCTGCGATCGAGATTTAAAGCAATGATTACTATTTTCCCTTACATCATATTTTCAACTTATCAATCTCTTCGAATCCTATAATCAGATCAACTCGAGGGCCAAAGGGCCAGGTCAAGCCGAGAATTCGAAGTCCTACAACTTAGCTCTCTCACACAACTGACCGCTGCTCCAAATGAGTAATTCAAGCTCAAATCTACGGTCTTTCATATCCTGTGTGGTTTCACGCAAGTGGGTGGATCCAGCAAGTAGCGAAGTGACTGGACGTTTATGTTTTTGGGCTGGAAAGGTCAAAAAGCTCAGTGAGTTGTGAGGGATGAGTAATCATTGATTATTGAGTGTTACAACGATGAGTGTGGACGGCGGTAACAAGAAAGACGCATTCTCTGATCAAGTAAGTCAATTTTTATGGATATTCCTTGCTTCAAAAAAGAAATCCAGTTAAGTGCAGCACATTGATGTATCAATGAAACTCTGAGAAGGACGGACAGTTTTACTTTAGATTAGCAATCCTGAGAGAATGAGGACAGATACGGTAGCTACCGAAGTGGTGCGCCTATTCGATGTCGCCGTAGACTGCCTCAGGATATGTCTGTCTTTGTTGTCGGCTAACGATTTGGATCGTGTAAGTATGCAGATACCTTCATAAGACATTAACAAAGTTAATAAGTAATATGTCGCTAATAGTTGTATTGATCAAACAACTATCCATTTTTTCATATCTTAAGGTGAATGATGCGAAAGAGAAATTGATAATGGAAATTGAAAACTTACAAATTGATAACAAAACGGAAAAGCCGTCTTCATCGAAATTCAACAAAACATCAGAAAGATTAGATCGTCCCGCTAATGAGCAAGATGGTAGATCTAGAGAAGAAATTAGAATGGAACGTAGAGCTAAAGCTGCTGAAGCGAAGACAAGAAAAAGTAGGTGTCCTGTCCGTTAGTTTGTTCCATTTCCTGACGCCGTTGATTAGTATAGGGAATTAGATTTTCGGAAGTACACATTTCATTATTTTGCTTGCAGTCCTTGAAAGTGAAATTTCAATCATGTACCTGTAAATGATTTTGCATTTCAGTTGTTGCGGCAAAGGCAAAGAAAGCACTCAAGCAGAACAATGTGCTTGCAGATGGAGAAAAAACTTTTAAAAAAACAGTAAATCAGGAAAAACGATGCTCAACATTAGATGGTAATGAGCAACAACGTATCAATCCATTCAAGCTTGTGAAAGATCCTGAACTTCCAAATAGTTTCCGGTCCTCACAGCCTTTCAGGACTGTTCATTTTGGTATAGATATATCAGTTTTATCTCAAATTATAAGATTGATTTTTTCGTATGTTTTAAACATAATGTGATTTAAACTTTAGTAGTCTTATATTTTATAATAAGAGATTTTTGTGAGTTAAAATCTTGTGCTTGTGACAGAAAACTATATATAGCCGGCATGTTTACGTATGGTGCATTACATAGAGTTGAGCGCTGAAATGGCAGGCTTAACAGTGGTTGAGTCCGGGCCGTGTTAGCTTCATTTGAATGTTTTCATTAATTTTTATTAACTTACGTAAATAACTGATATTTTTATTTAGATCTAACAGCAAAAGATGGTGAGAACGAACAAGGCTCATCAAAACAACCATCATTCTGTGAAATGACAAAAGCAAATATACATCCTTCATTTTTGGAATTCGCGAACAGGTCCTCGTTTTAATTTTTGACAGTTGTATAAAGAAAAAAATTCTTTTCTGTATTTTTAAGACTAAAGGAAAAGGACATTAATAAACAACATATCATTAGTCTGTTCCTCCTTGTCGCATAACACTGCTAGAAATATTCGGATATCAGTGCATATATTGAGCGATGAACATCGGATGCAGTCAAACGTCAGCACTTCGATCGAAATTAATAACGTTGATTTATTTAGCGCTAAAAATTCCACTCATACACTGGATATTTAGATGTGAAGCGAAACTCATTATTGGTGTTGATGCTGTTTGCGTGGCATTTGTGCAGAGTTTTAAACAAGTAATTTTTACTGCGAAATTTTTTTAATCTCAACTTCTTTGTAGTAATTTATGAAATCATAGTTTTCACAGGAGTAAATGATTGACTACTAATACTGCAGAAAAGTAGCAGCTATGGAGAACTTAAATCTATTTTTACTGCAAAAGAGTTCCTCTTGAGTTTTGTCTAGTTTTTCAATTTGCATCCGAACCTCGCTATCATGATCTTGAAAATACAGTATCTGGGATATTTTCTATGTTCGAAACAAGGGATGGAAACAACTTTCAGTCAAAAAAATGAAATTTGATATTTCATTTTTCAGTTTTTATCGGATTATGTTATTTCGCCGAATCAAATCATGTCGCGTGATCTCGAGCAGGCTCTTCGACAGCAGTTAAAGTAAATGACTGTTCTTAATCTTAGTTTTAAAAGTACTGGAAATTCTTTTTTTATCCAATTATACCAGAACTTTTATTTTGCTTTCTGTGGTAATATTTTCGACTTTTACAGCTATTTGATGGAGCATGGAAAGCATTCATTTCCTCTGCTATTGGGTAATCTAATAAAGCAGCTGAAGAAGGAAATTAGTCAGTTGCCGGACTCCGTTTCTGAACAAGAAGTACATTTTTTATTGATGCAATTGAGAATCACAGGAAGTCAAATATGGCAGTTTTTCCATGTCTTTATCGTATTTGACTAGTAAATTATCCCTGGATTGGCCGAGAAAAGTCCTGATCATTTAAATAAGTACGTGTCTGACAATTTACAATCTCATCAGTAAAATAACGATGTCAAAATATGCTCAAAACACCCACGGTTTTTTTAGACTACTGTGCAAAGTTTCTTGGTTTTCTTGAAGTTTCCTGAAAAGGTATGACAATCTCTAACCCTTTACGGTTCCACATCCTATTCGAGAAAAGAGAGAGGTTAAGAATTGAGGAAGAGGGTTGAACATATCTATTTATAGTGAAGTTTAGCGTTGAGCATCATATGCATATTGTTACGGCTGTCTCTGAGGTCCTTTGATGATTCTCAGTTTTTTAGATTATACTTATTTAAATATTTTAGATCTCTCCCATTTAAACATATTTTTCAGGGGAAAGAACGTCTGTATTGTTGGTTAAATGATTTCGTGCAACAGAATTTTGACCTTGCATTGCAAGCTATATCTTCATTTTGCCTCAGGAAAATGAAAAATACAGTCTTTCTGCTCACTTATTCATGGTTTATATTCAGAACATTTTAAATTTAAAAATAAGTATTCAATAGATTTAAAGATACAGCAATCTCCATTACTCCAAAGGAAGGAATAGCGACGAATGTTTCTTCGGAAAATCGTCACTTCGTAATTCCAAGCCATTTTCGAAATTCCAGGATATATAATTTTTATTTATATATGTGACAAGCTTTTTGAATTAGTAACGATGCATTGGAGAATGCTTTTTTTTATTGAATACTATTCATGTTGAAACAAAATATAAGTTCCAGGTGTCCAGTGGTAGAACGGATCATTTTAGATGCTCATAGGGATAAACGGCTGTTTCATGTATACGTTTTGGACTCACCTATAGATCACAAAGGTTTCTTTATTTTTTTTTTAGTTTACGTCGCTTCACTTTATTGGGAGTTGGATTTTATGTTCATTTAAGAAAGTTTTTTTTTTGCATTTGTGGTTGTTTTCAGGAAGACAACTAGTGAAGACATTGTGTGCGCAGAAGATTCAATGCAGTTATGGCATGCTTTCTTCGGTTGGCTATTTGATGAAAGAGGTCAGCTGTTTCTCAACAAATGTTTAAACTTGAAACTGTGTTAAATATCTTTAAAATAAGAGATATTTAATACATATATAATAGGGTCATGGGTATTTCGTCAATTGGTATATCACAAATTCAGGGAACAAACATCCATCATTTCAACGTTTATGAGATTATTTTAAAATATAAGATCAAGCTTGCATGCATATTTGTTGTAGTGTGATATGGTACTGTTGGGTTGCTCGGCAATTTTATCAAATGGATTCGTAGTGGCAGAACGTGGCACCAGTCAAATAGCATTAGTAGCTTCCGCTTCGAATATTCCAGTTCTGATTGCCGCACAAACATGCAAATTTGTTGATCGAGTAAGTTCTGTTTCTGTTCGACACTTCCTGTTTTTGTGTGAGTACACCGTGACTTGCGATCATTTTCTTGTTTTAGAGAATTTATGTTTTCTTTTATGAACGGATCATCGTATTTATTTGTAGGTACAATCATTTTCTCATGGTATTCATGAAGTAAGTGCTTTGATGGGCGAAAGGAATGAAGTTGTAGCTGCTGACTTGATAACTGCCTTGGTTACGGAATTGCGCATTTTGCCTCCAAGCTCCGCTCCCGCTGTATTAAAAGCTAAACAATTGGCTGTTGATTCATGAATTGTTATGATTTAATATCGTGCTTTTCATGTGAATTTTCTATTTCATTGTTCTTTTTACAGGCTCAGTTTTTCATGAGTATTGGATTTGTTACTTCCATGAATTCTGGCAGTTTGGATTATGCGAAAAGTTCTAAATTGCATCAAAAAATTTTCAAGTGTCTCAACTTCTGCTTGTCTGAACTTTCATTCTACTATTAAGTAATTTTATTTATATGATATTCAAACAGATGTTTGAATTTAAACGCTTAATCAACGCTGTGTTTGTAATGTTTGTGATTCTATTTTTATATATTTATTGTTTTAACAAAAATCGAAGCAATTTTTCTTACTGTGTGTTTATTGCTGTTAGCATAACAGTGTATTTATTTTCAAACTTATTATGGGACAAAATTGAAGTGAATCAGGTTATTAGAAAGCAAATGATTCTGTTTCCAAGCCAAATTCATGTTAAATGAAGTTAGTGAATTAGAACTAAGTGTTGACAGAGGGCCGAAGACTTTAATATCAGTTGACGAAGCTATATGCATTACTAAACAAAGAGTAGTGCATTCTTGTTGTATGGGTTTAATAGTTGCATTTAACACGTTTGTCAGGTGTTGATGAAAAGAATGAAAAATGTTGATGGAAAAGAAACTTAAACGACTTCGATATTCATTATGCAATCTGAGAAGTGCAGTATTTATGTTGTAGGAAGAAAGCTGTTCGAGATGACGTTGTATCTTTTGAACCAGTGGAAGAATCAACCAGGTGGAGCTCAAAATGCAAGTGCGTTATAGTTTGCACATTTTTAATTTTTGACTTTGGTCACTTCGGTTGCACTACCGTCTGGTTCAGGCACGATGCTCTGATTTCTTGTAATCGGAGGATAGAAAGTTTAAGGCATTGGTGTATGGTCCTTGCACAACTATTTTAAGCCCTAGATTCACCAAAAAAGGCAGCGCAATGTGGTAAAGTGGTGCTTAACCAGTAGAATGAGAGCAAATTCACACTCAATTTGTTTGTTATTGGCAGTTAGTTGTGCATTGTATCAGATTTACAATGAATCGACAAGATAGCATCTTGTGAAAGTAGCACGAAACTGTAAATAAGAATGTTAAATAAGTGATATTTCATCCTCACTTTAAAATTAGCTTCAAAGAAAGTCTTCAATTCAGGTGCATTTTTGCTTGCTTTGAAAAGCGAGCATTCGTCGATGCGCGAAAAGGAATTGATCATTGAAGTATTAGATGATTGGGATGTTTTGACACCAACCTGGTTTGAAGTGGCCGACTATCTAAGTGTCATCGAAGGACTTCATGAGGATGAACATTTTAAACAGCGTTATCTTGCTGCTCTTCTGGCTTCTAAGGTTGTCTTTAATTTTTATTTATTCACCTTAACCGACATTTTCATTCTTTTTTCGAACATCCATGATTAATTTCAGGTTGCTTTTTGTTTGGGCGACTATAATGGTGCCTTACAACTTGCTTTAGCGGCGGAAGACAAGTTCCAGCTCACGCCACGGTCACCTTCGATTCTTGTTGGTTCACAAGATGAGCAGGCATGAAATTCGTTGTTCTCTTTTTCTTCTTAAGAGAAAATAGTTTACAGATATCCATAAAATATTTGTGAAAGGGTATTATTATGGGTAATGTTTGATTAAGGATCTTTTAAATGACATTTCACTGAAACACAAGTTAAACACCTAACACTAACTAGTGATAAAATGTGGCAGAGAAAACAAATTCATGAAAGCATATACACATGGAATACTTTTATTGACAATCATCTCTTTATTTCAGTATGTGAACAAAGTGATCGAACATGCTCTGGACACATATAAACAAGCTAAACGTAATGACGATGAAATAGATCCTCGCTTGGAAAAGCTTATTAACCGACTTTTCGAGAGAAATATGAAAAGACGAGAATTGAGATATGTGATTGGGCTTGCGCTGGATACGCGCAGAACGGATATGATTTTAGTCGCTATCAAGGTTCAGCTATGTTGAAAGCAATTAGTTTCCAGAAATTCCCTTTTTTCAGCACTATCTTGAACTGACTAGTGTTTTAATTGCAATTCATTTTGTACGCATAAGTTTTGTATTAACGTTGATTCCAAAACTAACATATGCTTTAGAATAATGAAGGTATCAGATATGGATAGTACGAATGCAAAAGATATATTTTGTTTGATTTATCATTACGACTTCATTATAGGATTAAGATTTTGCTAGCTAAGTCTACATGCTAATATCATCGGTGCACTTTTAGGAACCAAGCGATTCTATTGTGTATCGATTAACTTGCAGGCTACTGATGACCAGGCAGCTCTGCTAACCGAAACTGTAGCGAAAGTATTGGAATCACAAATGGACCGAGCTTTCCGAAGTATAGTGTTGGATTTGCTACTCCGTTTGTTCGCTGAACTGGAGGAACCCGATTTTGTTTCTATGTGCCAGTGTTTGATTAAACTTGAAAAACCGGACGATGTTGCGGACATCCTACAGCGATTGGTTTCTAATAAGGTGTCTTTGAAATTAGTTTGTATAATAAACTTTTTACTTTTTATCTTCTGTTAGAATCATCAGCTACCTTAGCCGAGATATTTTAAAAATTCTGGTACATTCTCAGTTGCAAATTTGAATAACACTAATCAAACTGAATTATGTATTTCTTTATTGGAAGAAGTTAATATTTGTGTATTAGCGGTAAGCATCAAAAAATAAAGACAAATCAATTTTCCTGGATTACTTTATCAGGATAAACTGATGGTATGATAATCTTTAGTTAGTCATTTTTTTTTACATGTAATTCTTTCCGCTTGGATTAGCTTTGGAGACGATACCAATTTTTTATATGACATCAATCTCTTAATTTTATTTTAAATCTTTTTCTTATTTTATGAAATCTTTTCATTGAAGGGTGACAGTGGTGTATTATTAGCGTATCAGATTGCTTTTGATTTGTACGAAAATGCTTCACAGCAGTTTATCAGTAAAATAGAGCAATCCATCATAGACAGCACTCCGACGGATGTACCGATAATGAGCGATGCGGTGATACAGCCCATGGAAATTACAACTGAAGAAAAAGCGTTGGTTTCATGAAGCATTTTTTACGAAATAAGTTCCTAAAAAGTTTTCATTATGTGCCGAAATTTGCTTTTTCTTCATATTCTTATTGATTTTTTAATAAACAGAGAGACCAGTAAAAATACTGCCATAATTGCTTCGCAAGCACCACCCAACGAAACTACTATTGCTAATGAAGAAGCGGATGAAGGGAGGAGCGATGAGCACTTGAAGGATACGTCTTCATCGGAATCAGTGGAGGAAAAAAAGTAAGTTTTTTTCCCGTCTTCAAATTTGAGAGTCTTTGGAAAATATAAATGTTGCTTTAGGGGAGATAATTTTGAGCAAATATTGGAAGATACAAAGAATATATTGCTTGATTATCGGTTAATTGATGGAAAGTGGCCACAGTAAAGTTAAAGGTCAAATTTGTGTCGGCAATAGCAGTAAATTTTAGAAAGCGGAAGGGCAGTCCTGAAATAACCAACTCCCGAAATAACCAAGCTGAAGATGCCATTATTGGTGGAGTGTCGGAAATTTCTAATTCTCACAGCATAGCTGCTGACACGGCAAAAATGATGGTAAAGGGAGTGTCATATGCTGAAAGGTCGAAAATAAAGGTATTAATTTTGCGAATATATTAAAATTGGACTGAATAGTTCAAAAAAACAAGTAAAGTGTACCATGTGATTTTCATAGTCGAAACTAATGCTTTATGAATAATTTCTGTTCCATCGTTCTTCACAGATTACTGCAACTGTCCTTTGGATTTTTCTTCTCAGGGTAATTACATATTTTTGATTATATTTAAAATTTCTCATTTTTTATTTAATTTAAATTTATTTCAGGATAAGGTTGTCTGTGAACGCTTGCGATCAATTTTGCGTGGAGAGCAAACTATCAAACATCATATGCAATTTCTTATTAAAAACAATCACACCGATATGTTGATTTTGAAACAAATAAAAGAAAGCGTACGAACGGCATCGGCACATAATGCTACTGTCATTGCAAATGGCTTGATGCATCTAGGAACAACAACTGATGATTTTCTGAGGTATGTCGTATAACTTTTTTTTGGCGTTAGAATTCTCTTGTAAAGTCATTATCCTTCTTGTATTGCTGCATTAAGTGAAGCAATCATCAATAATCGTATTGCTGTTATCATGAACATTTTTTGGGATATTTGTGCATAGTCATATTCAATGATTTTTTTACTGTGTCACACCACACTGCTCAACCAGTGCATATATATTTGCACGTTTCTTGAGTGAATTTTCTTCATTTCATAATTTGAAATTTTTTTTTTTATATATATATATCGAAAAAATTTCAAAATTGGGTCACTTTATTTCTGTATTAAAACTTATATTGTATGTAAGGGAAGATGTAACTGACGTTACGTTCTCTGACACTATGATCACGTCATGTTTACAGAGACAATTTGGAATGGATAAGCAAAGCAACTAACTGGAATAAATTCAATGCTGTAGCTTCACTTGGACTTATTCATAAGGTCCATTTTCCTAAATGTTTAAAAGACTTACTGGTTTTTTTATTTTGTATAATTATTTCATATTTTTCTGTTTTATGTTTTTCTATTTTTACTTTTCTATTATATATATTACTGTACTGTTATTTTTTAAGGGACATGAAGCGAATGCCTTGAAGTTGCTAGATCCATATTTGCCAAAGGGCGAAGCTGATCAGTTTGGATTTAAGGAGGGTGGCTCTTTATATGCTTACGGTATTATGTCTTCATGTATTAATAATAAATTTTCTTCTCGATTCTACTGAGAAATATTGATATGGAATACTGAAAACAGGATTGTTGTCCTATGTATTTTGGAAAAACAAGTGGCTCAATATGTAGAAATAGTTCCTCTTTGGTCAAATTATAAATATTGATTTCAGGACTAATTCACGCGAATCATGGTAGCGCTGAAGTAATTGCTTATCTTCGGGATCAGTTATTGAAAGCAACAACATCAGCAGCGCGTCATGGCGCCTGTCTAGGTCTTGGTTTAGCTGCAATGGGAACTCATGATGAACAAGTTAGTTTACTGATTTATTATTATACATGCTCGCTTTGTAATCTTTCCACTTTGCTAAAATTTGTCATTTATTTGTGCTTAAGTTTGCAAAGCGATGGAAAATCTCTGTCGTGAAAATTTTTGCTCCCTTAAAGGTTCTGAACTTTACATTTTTAGCCATTTTGTTAGTACTTTCAGGTATTCGTACAATTGCGTGATTGTTTATATCAAGATGATGCAGTAACAGGTGAAGCCGCTGGTCTAGCAATGGGTCTTGTAATGGTTGGAGGAATGCAAACAGAAGCGTATCAGGAAATGGTACAATACGTGTGCGATACACAACATGATAAAATTCAGCGTGGTTTGCGTACAGGCATCGCTCTGCTTGCTTATGGTGAGTTTTGCATTTTTTTTTCGTTGATTTTTTTGGTGATTCTAATCTAAAAACAATTTTAATTTAAATATGCTTTTCATTGTTACATCTGTTTATTACTGTTATACTACATTCTATTTCATGTGCTATATTTGTTACCGTATCATGTCAAAAACTTCATCGTCGGTTAATGGAAAAATAATGAGATCCTTTCTTATTTTGTTTTATGCATATTTTTTTGTGGTTACAGCAGCGAGTGGTTTACTGAGCATAATGACATTGTAGAATACAGTGTAACCTATTCAATCTGTTAAGTGCATTCACTAGTTTTTATATTTCATTATTATATTTTCAGGGCAACAAGAAGAAGCAGAAAAACTGATAGCCCCTTTGTTGGAGCATAAATCAAACGCAGTATTACGTTCAACTGCAGTTTGCATGCTTGCGATGGCATACGCGGGATCAGGTAAAGCAGATGTGGTTCGACGGCTATTGGCCAAAGTTGCCGCTGATCCAAATCAAGATGTGAAACGTTTTGCTGTCATCGCCATCGGTTTCGTTCTTAGCAAGTTAGTTTATTTTTAATAAAATCATTTTAAGGCAATTGTTGTCAAAACATAAATGTTATAGAACAGAAAATCGAAATTAAAAAATGAATACTGATCTTGTAACATATTTTAGTCATATTATATTAGTTTATGGAATTCTCCGAAACTGTGATATCTCGTTCTTATCTATCCGAATTCATAATAAGTGCATATCAGCTTTGCTTTCTTATTTATATCTAGAAGCTTACTGAACAGAAGAGGTGTTTTTATTCCAATTTAATCATCTGATCGTTGTAAAAATTTTTTTGTGTAAACTGAAAACTCTAGGAAAAAAAGGAAGGAGGCAAAGGAGGGCTTGGTTTGATTTTATTTTTTAAATTTGATTTTAATTTGATTTTATACTTAAACTTCATTTTAATTTGATTTTATACTTAGACTTCTTAAATTTGGTTTTATATTTGAACTTTAAAAAAACATGAAAATTATCACGTCATACTTTTTTGGATACTGTTTACCATTTGAGTGATATCATATATCTTAGCTTCAACTATAGTTTATGCAGTTTTATAGAAGCGTACACGGTAAAATTTGACATTTCACTGCAGCGAGCGTCTTCAAAATAAAAAAAATAGATATAAGACAACAACAAAAAAACAATATCGCATAAAGCGTACTCAATGTTCAACGAAGTAAACACTTAGAAGTTCATAAGAACACTTTTAGGGGATTTTTAAATACCTCCAACAGTTCTATCCTTGCATCGGTTATTTTTGCTATAATAGTAAAAGGATTTGCAATGTCAGATATTGAAAACAATTTCTCTAATAATTTTGTTACCAGAATGGGTTGCCGTTGTCCGTCTGGAATCTGAAATGTATGTTTATGGAATCTTATAAGAAATTAAATTATAGATTTTGGCATTATTAGTATCAAACTGTTACTGAGGCAAAAACCCTTAAAGATTGCCAGTTTGGATAAAAAAGTCTAAATTGTTTTTTAATTTGATTTTGTACTAAAATGTTTTTTAATTTGATTATATACTCTAAAATTTCTAGAATTTTTTCTATTCATATAAGAACAATGAGTGGTGAAGGGTGTTTTGCTTGTAATAGCTTGCACTTTATTTGTCTAAATAGGTACTTTTTATTGAAACATTGTCTGTTGAAGATTTCAAGCATATAAATGGGAGTGCTTCAGCAAATCCTAGTTCACCTTCAACAAATTTTAAAACCTAACATCATGATTATGGTAAAAAATTTAAAATTTTTTGAATTCTTATCCTATTTCGATAATTCCCCATCTTCTGAACTAGCTGTTATACAAATATCGAGTACTTCATAACCTTTCCATGTGAGATCTTTCACTTTGAGAGTGGTTTGTGATTGATTATTCACTATAATTTGTGCATTTTGCTCAAGTAAGTCAATTTTTCTGCTAGTTGTCGGTGGTGAGCTGTCTGGCTGTATTAAATGGACACAGTGTTCTTGTCGTGAACTCTCATCTAGATTTTTGTTGTAGCTTAGAGCATCGTAGCGATCTTGTTCCCATCGGAAATCGGATCGATCAGTTGTAGCCCTAAAACTTAAGGAAAACACTTCAAGTTTTTTATTTCAGCTATAACTTTTAACTGTATCAAAAAAAAAGGAAAAAAATAAATTGCAAAAATTGAACTTAAAAAAAAGGGAAAAACTTTGCTATGCGATCTTACTTCTGAATTAACGATTAACAAGATATTTGTAGCATATCAAATTTTCAAATTTTCAAAATAATTTTTCGAGCAAGCAATACTTTATAATTTATTTCATAATTTCTTCAAATTTTCTGACTTGAGAAGTCGACACCAGTGAGAGCAATGACATGGTCTTGGAAGAATTTATGATTGTGTCGTAGATGGGGATTCGAATTTCTTCGTTTTTTTATTCAATAAAACTATACTTCGTTAGCTTTTGTAAATAAAATCCTTCAAGTAAATTGCTTGCTCAGGAAATTATTTTCAAAAAATGTGTTTTGAAATTTTATCATAGAAAGTTTAGCTGAAGTAAAAGAGTTGGAGACTTGAACTCCCAAATTTAAAAAAATTTGATTTAGTAATTCGGATGCAGATGGAATGAATGACATTACAATTATAGATTTTCACGGATGACTTCGTAAGAACCAGTTAATTTATCAGTAATATTTGCAAAGGTCGTGGGTCCGTAAGTATGACCTCTGCCTCAAGTATGTTTATATAACTACACAGTCAATACCTACCAATCATCATTGTCTGTTCGTCTCAAATTATAATTGCCAACATAGGTACTCTGAATGGAATGGGTACACTGACAGCGAAAAATTCGGAGGAATGTTCGTCGGAATTGTCTGAAAATTAAATGTCAGCTGGTTTCGATTACATCGAGAATGGAAAAATTTTCTCGTAATTAGTCACATATGGAATCTATTGTGCTCAGTTAACTATTAAATATGCACAAGAAATCCACATAGATATGCTCATTTTTTTTTTCAAAAATAGAAATTTATTAATGTTATAACCATGTTTTTACTGATTTTACGTAAATATCACTCTGTTTAGATGGCGGACAAATGCTTAATATTATTGAGTACTTATATTTTTCTTTAGGCTTAATCGTCATAGCTTTACAATGAATAAATGTTTCTAAAACTGATTCATCATATTGTAATAGTGTTACGACTATTTGTGCATAATTTTCGACGCTTATTTAACGAACCTGTTAAAAATGGTGTAAATAAGAGGGTTGATAGTGCTCGAGAAGTATCCTAACCATAGGAAAAAAGATGCTATCGTTGGCGGTAAGGCACACCGTTCACCGCAGAAACCAACTGCAAGATTGGCACCGAAAAATGGTGTCCAACAAATAAAAAAACATACAAATACAATGGCCAGTACACGTGTTGCCTGAAATTAAAACGATACTACTCTGGAATGGGAATGTGAGAATTTCCATCAGTGTATTCATTGGGATACTCTTGCTGCGGAGTGACATGTAGACTATATTACAAATATTCAAATTTTTGTTGACACCGAACAAGGCTTCTGAAGTCCAAAAGAATAGTAATGGTAAGGATAGTAATAAAGTAAGGATAGTTATAAGATAAAGCAATAATAGTAAGGATAGTAATAAAATTCGATTTATAAAGTGTTCCAACCTTGTTTTCATTGGTGAGTTCTGTGTTGCGCTTTGGAATTGTTTCCTTTCTGGGTATTTTACCACCTATGGCAAAGATTATCATTTCTGCACGTTTTCGGAAGCTACTTAAGCGATTTTTTTTATACTGAAATACAAATTGATATATAATAAATGAAATATTTTCAGATATACTAAATAAGTGAGAGAAATGAATGGCATAGATCTTTACATAATAGTGTAGTGAAATCGGAGTAGTAAGAATAGCACAATTTGCAAAAAATGTAATTATTCTTCTCTTGTTGTAATGACTAGATAATTACTCATAGATATTTTCTTTTTCATCTCTTTCTGTCTTTTTTATTATTATTTTTGAGAAGGAACAGATTTTGTTTCACCAACCAGCTCCACTTCTTCCTTGGAATATATCGGTAGTAAAGTTGTTTTCAGCGGACGTTCTGTCATCATCTCTTTATTTCGTCTACATGGGATAACATTTTGAAGGCTGTAAAAATCATTAAATGAATTGGACAGATCATTTTTAACTTATCTTTTGTTGGCATTGGAAAAGCAATAAGCAAACGAATTAACTGGTTAGGTACACTCCCCATACAGCAGTTGGCAACATATATTTTTTTTATTCATCTAAAAATTATGAAATGTTTGGCACCAAAAGTCTTTATTTATTAGAACTTGTGGCATCAAAATCTTTCATGTCGACTACTTTTTTCCTTATTATCTATTTTTGGTTTTAGATGGCATCAGCTTATTTTTAGCAAGTCTATAAGTTACAAAACGAGGAGGATTAGATTTCATCAATATTTCCATTTAAACAAAACGGGAATGATTAGATTTTGAATTAGATTATTTTTAATTGATCTAACAGACGATTTTCACAAATACTTAATTTTTACCATTATACGCTGCTGTTCAATGGCATTCAATCTAAAATTTTCGTATTCTAATAATTGGAAATTGTCGTAGACTTTTCCTTCCATTTTGATTTCAAAGACTAGAAGCTGAGCATTATAGCTATAGGAGGCTTTTATTTGTGCTTTCGTCCTTTCCTTATACATTGTTCTCTTGCTTAATTTGTTCTCCATTTTAAATCTAATTTTGAATCAAATGGGAAAGTTTGCACAAACATTTTTTCTAAAACGTTTCAATAATAACTATATGATAGCGCTGAAAAATTAAATTACATATGAAGGATTATCGATAAGTTAAACTTTTTAGGGAAAAGAACTACTAATGAGGTGATTTTCAAAGAATTACGGAAAAATAACGATTTAAAAGATTGAGTCATTATAAATTCACCATAAAACATTGACGCACTAATCAAATTTAATTTCTTTAAATTTCTTTAACAGTCATTTGCTCTTTGAACAAACTTCACCGATTTCAAAATTACTTGCGGGTTGCATCAAGTGAAGGTTCTCCGAGCAAACTAGGATTCTGATAGACGAGAACCCATGTTTTATCTCGATATATGGCCTAAAGAGTAATCAGTTATGCTATGTTCCCTTCCTATTTCTATGAAAAAAAAAACCTTATAGACCTACTTTTCCGAAATATACTTGCGCTGCGTACAGGTACGTCTCAGAATGAATGCTTCATTATTGGTATCCGTGCCTTGATAACTAATAACTGTTGATTGTTGTTTGAGAAGACTTGTAGTGCGGACATAAGTAACTACCATAATAAGAAATGGTATCAAGAATGCGAATGTTGATCCATAAATCATGTAGTAACGATTAGCAATGCGGCATGTGTTATCGTTAAATATATTGCTTGAATCAATAAGGGCCATGATAGCAATTGGGCAGGAGATCAGTATCGTTGTTATCCATACAGTGGTTAACTTCACCGCTATCGATGTTTTTGATTTATCTCGAGCTTTTAAAGGTTTCGAAATTCCTAAAATAATTGTACATGGAATGGCTTTGCTCTTCGAATTTCCATTTACCATTAGTCGAAATTTTTTAATTAGGATAATGATTTTATTGAGATCTCAATAATCAATACGGAGTGCAGCCTCGTATAATGAGATAAAAAAATACCGATGTATCGGTCTAGTGAAATAACAGATATATGTACAATACTGGCGGTGCACAAAAACACATCGGCATATACATAAAATAAGCACATCAAAAAACTCCATGTCCATACTCCTGCAAATCCACATTTATTCCTTAATACAATTTTGAGATTGAATAAAAACTTAAATTGAATTCCCGAAATAATAGTGAGTGCAGAAAAGACAGAATTCTTCTTTTATGGAATATTCACAGTTATCATGTATAAAATGCTTTTTCTACATTATTTGCTTCTTTGTTTTCAGCATCAAATTCCAGTTTATTTTATACTAACTTATTTTTTGAACTTTCCGAATAAATCGGTTCCTCTGTAGTTATCCTTTAATACTATTTTACTTTCGTTCTGCAGTATCTCAATTTTCATTCTCTCTCTGTAAATCCCTGTTTATCCCATTGCATACAACAATATTTATTGTAATAAATATAGCAAGCATACTGCTTAACAGAAGAAAAATGAAATAAACATTCTTTTTCATTTCCATTCTTTTTATTTTCGAAGGATTTTTGAGTCTTTTTTATTTTTGAAATACTGATCTTTTTATGACTTCATAAATTGCATAAAGTTTAACTAAACTATAAATATAAACGAGTTCTTATTTTTTACTAATTCTTTTTCATTCTTCTACGAAAGATATATTTTGTTTTCCACATTCAATCCCTTGTCTACACATATCTACAAATTTCGGGATCGAATTTCAAATGAAAAATTTCATATCACTATTCCTGGAGTTACACTGCCAGTTCGATTTTTACAATTTCCTCGTTTGCATTTTCTCAGTTTTCTTTTAACTATGTTCTCACCTTGATGTACTTCCACAACGATGGTAATTGGCATCACCAGACCGCATACCAATAAATCAGTTAACGTCAGTGAAAATAGGAAATAATTGGGAATATTATGCAACCTCCTATTGAACTTAATTGCCACACATACAAGTAAATTACCTAATAAACCAGTAGCACACAACACCAATAATAGTAAAATAGCGAAGATATTGGACGCTTCACTTGTTAGTGAAGGTACATGAAGTTCTTGTACTGCTTCTTGATTCCAAGTAACGGACATGTAATACTGATAATGATAATACAGATACATGCAGGAACACTGTCAAATACATATATTTCACTTTTTCGCCGTTGAAAGCTAGCTGATGACAGTCCGTTAATGTTAGCGATAATGATAATGGTGCTTATAGAAGCAATCGGGTTCAAAAAGCAGCAAAAAGCAGAAGCATAATATTTTTCCAGTTTCCTTTGATATGCTGCCTGAAATGTTTATAAAATCTGAAACAGCCAGCAGTCACGAACAGGACAATGATGAAGGTAGAGCTCAGCTTTGTGCAACGTAAACTTGGCTACCCATCCCTTTCTCTCTCTTCTTTCATATACATCTGCAACCAGCATTTTAAATACTTACATTAACTTGCTGATCTAAGGGCGGTGCCAGTCCAATGATGCTAACTGCCGCAATTTCATGTAACCGTTCACCACAAAGCTCATTCTGGATAGCATGCAACAGAACAACAGCGAACCTTTCTCAGATAGATGGCAATTAATCCTCTTAATGCTTAAGATTTCACCTGTTTCAATCAATATGTACGCTGCAATGACCAAACACGGAAATAAATTCTAAAATTTTATCAACTATGACCAAATGCTGAAATAAGTTGGAGAATAGAATAATAAGTTGTTTCAAAATTTTAATTGATGACTCTCAACTTTTAAGAAATGTACGTTACACTTTCACTAGCATCAGCAATAGCATTATTAGTAGCAACAGCGATGTTATCATAAATTAAACTATTTTTATGTCACGCTCCCTGCATTCCAGAATGCTAGGCTACAATTATTTCAAGCCAGTAAGAACACAATTATTGGCACTTTATTATATTGATTTTCTTTATGGATTGATTTTTTGTTTCAAAACGGTTGCTCATATTTTGAACCTTTTCCTTGATAAATGATATTTTTTGAGTTTGGATATGCTGTTCTCCTAAATAAATACTTTTCCTTCTAGGAATTCCTTAAATGAAATGCTTCCGGCAATAGAAGTTTTCGTTGTAGCTATTTGTCATTTTCAGAGTGGTTGCCATAGTTTCTATATTGCTGGATCTACTACAACGTGTGCTTGAAGGCTTGAAAGTTTAATCTCTGCAATATGCACCTATTCAAACTTTGCTGGAAAGAATCTTAATCCTGTTCAATCTATATATCATTTCTTTCCTGAGAATAAAATCACTTAAAACAAAATATTAAAAATAATCCATTAATATTAAAGAAGTAGTAAATTTTTGAAAGTTATACTTTTTGAAAAGTTATAAAATCTCCAAAACGGTATTGCATTTATTTGTAATATGAATAGGATCAACTGAGTGACGGCGACTGAACTAAAATGAATAAAGCAACGACTATTTGATTATCTGATTGATCTTAATGAAAGAATACAGGTACGAAAAGGTTATGAAAAGCATTGCTAATATAAGTACCGCCATATACTTCGTATTTGTCTATTCTTGATATTTGTTGATTGCCTGTCCGATTGATCTGGGGCTTACAAATTATATTTACTAATTTTTTATCTTTCTAGAAATGGAAAAGAAGGCTACATGCATAGAAAAGATTGTATGTTTGTTGAACTACATTTAGTGCAATTTTTTAATATATACTGGAGAAACGGCGACTCTAAATGCTGGTAAAAGATATTTACCACAAATACCACAGTCGAAAGTAGAGATATTAATTATTGATGGATGAATGAACAAGAGAAAAGGAGTAATGAATAATTACGAACATTACTTTGAATTACTTCATAGCTGAAAAGGAACTGTACTTATTCAAAAATTTGCAAGGTTGAGCGCTATAGTTAATCAAGTAGGAAACGTAATATGAACGGGAAGACAGATGAATATAATTTAAGAAATTATATAAAGAATTCAAAAATACATGAGTACTATGAAAAGTGCCACTGAATAACACTGTACATAAATATTTGAACAAAATTCTTCTGCTATTTCCATAATTTTTATTTTTATTCGTTTTTTTTCAAATACCTGGAAAAAATTGCCAACTGATTTCATTTAAGTGATGCAGAACAGTGTCTTAGTTATACGGGCATGTTAGCGGAACATTTCAACCCACATGTACGATATGGCGCTGCTATGGCTCTAGGTATTTCATGTGCTGGATCCGGTTATAAGGTATGCTTTTAAATCAGTCGTAATGTATATTATCGTTCGAGTAATATTTATATTTATGCTAAATAAAATAAAACAACTAGTATTTACATCATTTCAGCGAATGTTTTTAACCATAGTAAGAAGGCGACAAGAAGAGTAAGATTATTTTTTTGATGATTTGGTAAGGTAGTCTAATTGAATATTGTAGGTACTTATTGGTCTACTTATTTATCTAAATTTTTCATTAAAGTGAAACTTACTAGAATTATCAGCAAAAATAGCAAAAAAAAATTAGGACAGAATAGAGATTCGGTTGATGCAGTGGAGCTTAAGAATTAGAAACTTGCAATCCAGAGTCCAGGAAATTTTCAAAAAGTTAAGAAATCATCGATGCATCCCTATATTTTTGATGACACTCGAGTCAAGTTTCTAAAAAACATACATTTTTGCTTTTTTATTATCTTTGGAGCTATTAGATCAAGAAAAAACAGGAAGGAGTATTATGAAATTAGGTATCTATTCAGTGTATGAATATGGAAGTTACTCCTAAGGAAAACTTATTGCACGCTGCTGTATTAACAAGCTGTTGCAAAAGCAAATTAACAAGTTCGTTATGCAGATGCCAATTTTTTGGTTTAAAAGTGATCGGATTTAAGCTCGTAAACTATTTTAGTGTGTTAAGGGCGAGAAGGCAGAAAATGACAAGAGCGACTATTAGCCTTTACGTATCTCTCACATCGCCTATCAGATGATTTGATGATGGTTTTTTAGTGCTTATGTCCTTCTGAGCTTTAAAAGATATTCTCATTCATATCATCTTCAAAAGTAAGCAAAACAATGAAAAAACGGGACAAAAATAAGACCAAGGGTTTATGATAACGTATTGCGTGAATTAAACATTTGTCTTCAAAAATCTTATTTAAAATGCTATTGGGATGAAGTCAAAAAAGGTTAAATCTCATGATGACAGAAAAAGGCAGAGATTTTTTTGAATTTTTATAAATAATTTGAAAGTTGAAAACCATTGCTATAGGCACTATTTCCCCCATGCATCTTTTTCAATTGTAAATTTCATTCCTAGCAATATGATCCTTTCTTAAACGTCATTGAATTATTGTCAAAGATGATTCACTTCTTCCATATAAATGAATTTAAATGTTTCAAAAGTGTAACAGTTTTTGGTCTGGTTCTTTCTCCATAATTTTAGGAAGCCATCGCATTGCTTGATCCGCTATTGAGCGCCAAGGAAAACTTTGTTCGGCAGGGTGCTGTTATTGCTTTATCGTTTATTTTGATTCAGCAGACGGACGCAATTTGTCCGAAAGTAAATGAATTCCGAAAAACATTGACAAAGGTAATGATCCTATTTTAGAGGATCAATTCTTCATTGAAATTTGATAGGACTTCTTGCACTTCCCCTATATCAAATTCATAGCTGCTATAAGTAGAATGAGTAATGTTATCTTTGGTGGAGGATGCATAATATCAAATAATAGCATAAATTTGACTTTTGATCAGTTAAGGGTGTTTCATTATTTGTTATTTTTATTGTGTTTCATTATTTGTTATTTTTTATTATCTTCATTCATATCTTTATTGTTACTCCCAGTTATTGTTACTTTATTTCAGATGATAACCGAAAAAGGCGAAGACTCAATCACGAAACTGGGTGCAATCCTTGCTCAAGGTATTATCGATGCTGGCGGTCGAAATGTTACGATATCACTTCATAATCGTAACGGCCATCCCGACATGCCAAGTGTTGTTGGAACATTTGTATTCCTTCAGTATTGGTATTGGCATTCCTTGACACATTTTTCATCACTAGCATTCAAACCAACTTGTGTGATTGGTCTTAATCTTAATCTTGAAGTTCGTCGATTTGAATATTTTCAAACTCATGATTCCAGCAGACATGAACGTTTTTCGTAGTAATGTCCAATTAAAATTATTTCGAACTTTCATTATCCGTGCAGATTTCAAAGAAATCGGATGTATTCACGATCAAATAATATACATTATACAAATAGCGCTATAGCAATAGATAGATTTTTTTCATCATTTTAAACAACTGTTAGATTCGAAAAGCTGCCGGGCATACTTGTTCTCAGTCAAATAGTTATGATATTCAGATGCCAAGAACGGAATTTCGTTGCAATGCAAAACCTTCAACCTTTGCTTATCCACCTCCTTTGGAGGAAAAGAAAAAAGAAGAAAATGAGAAGGTATTTTAATAGTTATGATATGTGAAATAGTAGATGAAATACTTGTAGTAAATATGTTTAAGGTTTAATTCAGTAGAGACTTATCGGGGGTTTTACCGTCAAAAAGTTCGTATATTTTTGTTTTCGTTTGCTAAAAAGTGTTAATATGGAAGTTTCATTGATAGTAAGCATTGCAGAGAAAAAGCTTTGTTGATTTCAAACTCTTTAAAATGAGTTTGAGTTAGATTTTAGTAAATTCATTTTTGTGAAAATGAATCAGTTATTCGCAGGTGGAGACAGCAGTTCTTTCCGTAACTCACAAGAAAAAACCTTCAGTTCTTGACCGGTCAAGTGCTACTGTAGTAAAAGAAGAAGCCAAAATTAGGGAGGAAAAATCAGAAAAAGACAAAGAAGAGGAAATGGAGGTTGACAGTACACATACTACAGCAATAATAGCTGATTCCGTTGCTGCTGTGCCGACTACAGCTGCTGCAAATTCGGAACATAAGTTAGCTGAACCGAGGAGGTACGTGTATGATAATATGCTAACTCAAGAAATACTGTTAACAGTCTTTGCAGAGAGTATTTATTATTTTATTGCAGCCATGAAATGATTTCAATTTGTCGAAGGCTAACAGCACACATTTTTTTAAATTTATTGAAGGAAATTTTTATGAAATTTTTTGAGCCAAATTGTTTTTAACTTTCGCTTTTTCTAAGCATTTGTTTTTTCTTTTCTGGTTGTCATATCAACTCGAGATAATTAAGCAAGTGTGAGGAAAAATCCGGAGATTCTGATCTCTGTAATTCCTCATTTTCAATGTTTTCTAATTGTTTTAATTACAGCAAATAATTTTGGTGAAAATTGATAACATTTATGATTACCGGGTTCTTCTTCACCAGAGCTTTTTTCAGCAAAGAACCGGAACCAACCAATTATACTCTTCAAAATCCAGCGCGTATTGTTCGCTTACAGTTGAAAACTTTACAAATGACTGAAAATAATCGCTATAAACCATTAAAAGCACTTTCCCAGGGCGGAATAATTATGCTTCGTGATAGAAAAGCTGGACAAGAAAAGGTTTCTAGTTTATTTAAACATACAAAAGTTGCATTTTCTAGCACTCATTGTTTGTACGTGAGATTCTTGTACATACAAGTTCATCAGAACTGTCTATCATCCAATGGAACATTTCTTCCATTAATATCAGATCATTTAGCTCACTTACTACTGGCTGAAGTACGGTAATGCGCAGTTTGTCTCGTGTAATATGTTTTCTGTACTTTGATTGCATTAATGTTACTCAACTGTACCTTCCATGCAATGAGTTCAGTCAACCAGTTGAAAATCTTGCTGATAGGGAAGGAATCCCTTACAAATTAACTAGAAAGCATGTGATGCTTGCACTGTCGCGAAAAGCAAGCAATGACTATAGCAATCCGTATTATGTTACATGTTATTATACTGTTTTTTACTCCGTCTAACTGGTGGGACTAAACTGTTCGGTTCTTGTAACGATGATGTCATGATGTCAAATAATGACGAGATTTTTCTTCTACTTGCTATGTAAATCACATGAACCTTAAAAATGAAATTTAGTCTGATGTTATATATCCCCTCTTAGATTTGGCTTTAATTACTCCTGTAGTAGGGATATGCTGTTTGAAATAGCTGAAAGATTTTCTCTTTTCTTTTTAATTCTGATAGTTTTTAGGAAGAAATTGTGGCACTAGCGGCAGCTGGAGGAACGCGCGTGGAAGGAAAAGACAGTTCGGAAGAGGCGAAACCACACACTCCTTTTGAAATTAATATTACCTCATACTGAACGATTTGTTGAGTTTATATCCAATTTATATATGAGAAGAAAATGCATGGTTTATTCACAGAGTAATTTGTCTGAGTAATTTATTCATTCATTTTTCATATATTCTTTTCCAAGTACATATGAAGAATTACGTTTGTACTTTTCGTGTTCTTCGGAATTGTTATTCCCTCTCCATTCATGTAATCTGTCGTTAACTTTTCCCCATTTGTATCTTCTTGCAGTTGTCGATTTTATTAGTACTGAAGATAAAGGTTTGCACATAGTTCATTTTGTAAAAGCAGAAAAACTGAAACTGAATAAAGACCTAAATATTAAGCAATCGTTCGCCTTTACTCATACAATACGATTGAATAGATTTCTGATGTATAAAATTTCTCCTAATTTCACCAGAGAGGGAGTAAATCAATTCTAATGAGAGTGTGGGATTTCATATTTCATGCCGGTGGTCGATGTATTTGATGACGATTGGAATGGGTAACAATCATCTAGCAGTGCTTGTTTTGTAATTTCAGATCATTAAGGATGTTATGATACGAGCAGTAAAGTGAGAAATATAGATAAACGATGAATTGTTCAGGAATCTGAGGTGGCAGTGAATTCGTAGTAATGATGACAAGTAGAAAGGCTAATAATTTTTTAAAATTAATTGTTCTAACTGTTAGATGCTTTTCAGACTCATTGTTATTCATCAAATTACTTTTCCTGTCATTACCCGTTGAATTTTCAATAATTTCATTTATATGTCTGGTGTGACGGATGGCTTGAAGGCAAGCAGAGAACGGTGCTATCAATCACGTGACGAATATTTTAAATGCTACGAGGAGCATAAAACTTACAACGAATCTAAGTGTAGAAAACTGAAAGAAAAATTCGAAAGGGATTGTCCTGCGTCATGGGTATGTATATTTTTCAATTGTATATGACCATGACTAAGGATATGATAAGGACGGTATGGCCAATGACTCAAATCCCCTAGGATGTAAACTTAAACCTATCAATTTATTGCAGTTACCATTTTACTTTTACCATTCTTTTGGCTTAATTAAAAAATCAGATCCTCTGTATGATCGTAACTTGAACTCTTCTAAAAAAGATTTTTTTCGGTATTTCTGGATACATTATATTGCAAAGCGAGATCGCATGATATAAAATCTTCCTATATCCTTAAATTTGAAACAGCTTTGTATTTCTAATGCTTAACAACTTGGAACAGATGGAAACCCAAGTTCTCAATAAGCAAATAAGTGCACTCATTGCAAAGAAAACTCAAATATAAAGACTGTCTCGCAAGGAAGAGATTTAGGAGATGCTGAAAGTTCTCTTCGTCTTGTCGTATTCCAAAATTCCAAAATACTTGGAAATATTTTAGTGTTTTCTTCAGGTCCCACATTTCATTCGTAAGCATAACTACGAAAAATACAAACAAAAGTTAGTGGACGAGGGAGTTTTGTTGACAGAAGTAAATGATGCTGATAAAGTGCAGAATTCTTCCTCATCTTCCTAAATTAGTGAGTTAAACTCTTTTAAATTCTTAGGTCCTTAAATGCTTCTTACTTGTTTTGACTGATCTTTCAAAGATTTCGCTATCGGTGAAATAATAATAATATCGATAATGATTTTCTGGTTTTCACTAATGATTTTAATAATGATTTTCTGGAATTTTTCTTAGCTCATTTTTCTTAACTTATAATAAAAATATACTGTTAGTTAAATTGCACCAGTTATTAATAATTAGAGTAATTCTACTATGTTGATAAAGTAGTGCCGAATCTTCAATCATTGATACTTGAACCAGGCAATTATTATAGGCGAATATTGTTGGGGATCGTTTATTTCATATGACGGCTAATATACTGGCTAGTTCCGTTGTATTCAGTGGCACTAACGTTTGTTCAAAGCAGAATTCATCACCTAAAGTTTAATTTTCCGTTTATTTCAATTAAAAGTTTAGATCAAATTTTCTGAAAAGTTTTAAAAATGTTGAATAAATACCTCATTACTGTTTAAAAAATTAAACAACATATGACGAAATACATAAGAAAAATTGGCTACTTTCTGTTTGAGGATTATGCTGTTTAATTTGCGAAGCCTCATTTCACTTTTCCGTAGCTGCAGTGTATATTTCTGAGCACTGATTCATTTACGAATATTACCGTAAAATGAATCATTTTTATCAGATTTCAATTGCAAATTAATGTCGGACTTCAATTTTTTCTTGCAAAAAAAGTTAATTCAAAATAAATAAAGAACAATTTTGCGCTGCAGTTCCCGAGAACAAATGCCGAAAAATTAAGTTATTGTGGCTGTGTAAACGATGCTCTGCATGACGTTAATGTTGAGCAGTTCTGTGAACGCATGAAGATGTTTGGTATGAAATACGTGGATGTATTGCGGATCCTGAAGGATGTTCGTTACCTAAAAACAGGTCGCGTGCTTCTAAGGCAGTAGGTTTTTTTTTTTGCGATTTTAATAGCATTTCATCTCATACAAAATTAAGGAGAACTTAGCGACTTTAACTTCGAATTGTAGTTTTATTTAATTTCAGCAGCAATTGGTCTCTTTTCGTTAAAACAAAATATGCACTAATAAGCTTGATTTCTGCTATGAACTTCTTGGTTACTGCTAGCTCTCTCGCGAACTTAAAAAGCACACCTCTTATTTGAATCGTAAAGTTGGGTTTTTAAACATAACATAGTTGTATATCTTGACTGCTAATCTTACCAAATTTTTGTCACTCTTTTTCGCTATACTCAAATTAAATTAAATTAAATGTTGCATTCTCAAATTAAATTTTCAGTGTTCTCCCAAAATAAATTTTGATAAGCTTACAGCTTATGCTCTTCTTCGCCTTCACTGCCACCATACATAGTGCTTGAAATGGTTGAAATACTTGTTTGCATTCATATGGAAGATGCTACTGAAAAAAGCGATGAAGAGCTTTGGCGGGAGCTGTTACTCCTTGCTAATAAAGTGCCACATTTTTTGAAACCGACTGTTTCGCTGCTCTTGAAATCATGTTGTCCCGTGAATATCCTGCCAAAATTGCCATCAAACTTGATGTTACGTCCTGTAGTTATCACTGCTTTGTTAGGTAATATCTTTTGTCGATAGTTTTCCTAAAATTAGTTTATTTTCAATTGTTCTAATCACCATGAGTTCTTACACTATATGTCTTTAATTGATTGACCAATTTTTGCAGCCAATTATGTCCGCTTTGGAAAAATAAGCCTCTTCCAAACATTACTTGCAAAAGAGACTGGTTATGATTTGTTCAAAAGCGATCAATTACTGCGAGTTCTCGCTTTGCATACCAATTCTCACCCAGCTATATCATCTACCTATTTGCAGTATCTCTCGCAACGTAGTGTTACCTTGTTAGATGACAATATGTGGCATTTCAATTCTATCATCGGGTAAGTGCAAACCAAATAGTGGTCCATGGATTGCATATCTTTTTAGCATTCTTAGAGTAACCATGTACGATGAGTAATGTTATTAACGTTCGGTTAAAAATCAGGAACTTCAAAAAGGGAACTTTTTGTGTCTCAGAATTATGTGACTATGTTCGATAGTATGGGAGCATTTTTTCAGCATGTAAATGTAGTTACTTCAAAAAATATGGTACGTATAGGTTAGTAAGAAAGTAATAGCATTAATGCAGTAACGAGATTTTTCTACCTAGACAGAACGAGAATAACAGGCCGAAGTTCTTATCATAAAAAAAAATGATATTCTTCACAATTGATTAGCAGTTCACTGACTGTTATCAAATTGCGCATCAGAGACTGATGTATCGCTCCATGATACATAGAGTCACCGTTCTTTGGTTTGTATAATAGTTCTCGATGTTTTTCAGCTGGCTTACTTCAAAATATGAACTTCTGTTTTTTGAAAACTTAATGTCGTTTTTATTCTCTTTTACTTTGCAGCCAGTCAAAATATTGGGATATCAGGAAAACAACTATATTGGATAATGGGGATTGTTGTATTTGTGGAGGAAAGTTTAAGAAAAATGAGGATTTATCAGAAACGGAATTCAGTTTACTTAAAAATGAAATAATGTAAATGTTTCCATATACAATTTTATAAAAAGAATTTTGTCCATTTTATTTCGAAATCAAAATTCCCTGTTCTGAATGTCTATTATTTTTGTATGATCATGCAGAGCATGTTGAAATAAATTTTTCCAGGAAATATTTATCTGATGATATGCATGTGTTCTCCAGCGCTACGGATCAAGAGATTTCCGACTTAAAGAGGCATATAAAGCAAGAAATAAAGTCTCCTGAAGTTTGCTTTTATCTCACGTTTAAAATTATTGTCAGAGATTCTCTTTTAGATCTCTCAATTGTTTATTTTTTCTGGTCATTTATATTATTTGTTTTCCTTTTCATTAAGAAATTTTAATATTTGCTTTGTTATGATTGCCATTATTTAGAGGAGGCAGACGCAAAAGTGGAGATATTGCTGAGTAAACAAACTAAAAATTCGGCATTAAAAGTTGGTTGTGCGAAGTAATTAGACACTACATGTCATGTGAAGAAGACATACTAACCAAAAATTGTAATTTAAATATTGAAATAAACTGACCAGGCACTTTTTTTCTGGTAACAAATTTTTCAGGGTCGGCAGTCACTGGTTGTTGATGCTCTCAATGTTTTATATACAGGTATCAATAATGTGAGATCAAGGTATGGAATTGACGAAGTGTTGCAGAAATCGTTAGATATATTTACTGATGTATTGCTTATTGTGCGGAAAGGTGGCGACACGAATCGTATATGGAATGAACATGATAAGTTCAGCAATTCTCGCTTGTCAGCATTCTTCTGTCATAGGATGTATGTTTTTTTTTTTAAAAGATAATCCATCTGGATAGTCTTACTGGTTTTGTATGAGGCTTCCTTATTGGTCAACCTTATATTAACCATAGTGAAATGAAGTTTTTTTTTTAGAAAGCACATTAGCAATGTTAGTGTAGTTCTGATGTATGTTTTTATTAAGTCACTTGGTACAATTGATGTTTAAATTTCAGCAACAGTGAATTTTTTCCTTTGAGGTTTATGTCAGTAGTCTTAAGAGACTCTCATCACAAAACTTTTTCAGGAGTAACGATGATTTATTTGTATTGTTAGCAGTAATGGAACTTGGGATAAATGCTTACTTTTTGACAAATGATTCCTTTATAAATCATCGCAATATGTTAACTCCGTCTGGTCAATCGTTGTTCGACAGGTGGATAGAGAAAAGAGCTGTACGCTTGAATAATAAAGATATAATCGTAAGTTTGCAGTTATTCAAACAAGTTTTTTTTAACGCAAAATAAGGTGGTATTACTTTTGTCATTGAATGATGCCTGTATCTTTCCTCTACTATCTTTCATTCATTGGGTTCACTAATATAAATTTTATTATGGGAAAAAAAAAACTCGTGATTTGTAACACAAAATGTGGAATTTACATCTTATATCTTCCAGATGCCTTCGAAATTTGCTCCATATGTACACGAGGCAGAGAATGGCTATCATATTTCCGTTAAAACAGTTAATAACTCGGTTGTCTTATATTCTTACTTTTGCGTCCGAAGAAAGCATGTCCAATAGCACGTTGTTGAACTGTTTGTGCAGGCTGTCGTGATTTGTAATCAAGATGAATTGTAAGAAGTTTCAATGTTAGTTTTAATTTCATGACACTGGTCAATGTTGATCAGTCAAGTGATGTGACATATTCCTATACTTTCGTATTTCTTTAAGCATTTAGAATATGTCAGTTAAGTTTTAAGAACAGAATAAAGATTGGTTTTTATTGTTTATGAACTGTATGATTTATTATCATGATGTGGCCTCGTCTAGCAAAAATTATTGTTATTTCTTTATTTTGAATGTAGATAAAGCTCATTTGGTGCATCCTACATTATTTCGTCTTCAGGTGTTGTCTTGTTCCAATATCATATAATTTAGATTGAATGATAATTGATTTATAAGTGGCCAGTCACAAAAAATGTTGACAGAAGAAAATTTTGGAATTAATTGAATGTTTCGTAATACCAGCATCTTGCCACTGGTACATTAAAGTATTAAACCATAGTTATGACGACTTATTGGGGAAACTCTTACACATCTATTTGAGGCTTGCATAATAATTTTAGTATATATATTTTAAATATTAGTTTTGACAATGGATCTCTTCTAAGATTTTTTAGGCAGAGGTTCTATTGGCTACGTTTGGTTGACAGGTCTTTCTTTTCAGGAAAAAAATATGGGAGTTTGCAAGGGCAGAAAATAGAAAAAACCAATAAATATAATGGATGTTGTCGCGGCTGCTCAGCAGTACATATCGGAGATGATCAGGCTGGCTGGTCCAGGCATGAAAGTGATGATGATGGATAAATACACGGTAACCGTCTACAGTTTTAATTATAAACCCTTTAAATAAGTTTGAAACTAATGTGAAATAAAGAAGCAGTAGCATACTTGTTACTTCTTAAAACTCCTGTAAGGTGCTGTTTATGAAAGACCATGCTCGTTGACTAGCTTAGTGATAATTGTATATAAAATGGTGGTTTTATTAAAAGTTCCAACAAAGAATTATTCAAATTGTGAAATAAAAGAGCAAGAGCTTACTTTCTCTCGAATTTGTTGGAGGTAAAATATTGGCTTATCATACAGGAAGAAGTGGTATCCATGTTTGCATCGAAAAAGTTATAATATAAACTAGGAGTCGAAGAAGTAAGGATGGTACTAAAACATGAAGGATGAAAACAAATACGAGTGATTACATAGATTGCTTACAGAAAGTAAATTCATAATGGCATTTTTTAATTGGATTCGTTATTCGAAACATTTAGACTAGCGCTGTATCCTGTGTTTATACACAAAGCGATATGATGCAGAAAGAAGTATATTTATTCGAACGCATCGATTCCGTCGTTTTAAGGTATACTAACTTGGACGTTATGTCATTTTTTTTTCTCCTTTCAATTTTTCATAATGCACAGTTTAAATTCTTGACCGAAAATTGTAGAGAGCCAATCAAGCATCTGAAATGCATAACATTTTTGCGACCTACGGCGGGAAATATTCATTTATTAGCTGAAGAGTTGCGGTTTCCGAAATATGGCCAATATTATATATGTAAGTTTACCTCTTAATAAAATTTATCTCTCTAAGTCGAGCAGTGGCGGTGATTCTTACGATAGGTTCTTGTAAACATCTTGATCATCAGTAGGACGTTTTTTCTGAATTGGAAAAATTCTGGACAATTTTTTTAATCATGCTGATTAAGGTTTTATTCCAGATTTTTGTAATATCATCAGCAAAACTGATGTCAAAACACTAGCTGAGGCGGATGACCAGGAAACGGTATGAAATTTTATAAATTTCATGGATTTTACATCTGGGAAAATTTCTGCAATGCATTCTAAATTTTCTGACTTATTTTTCAAAACGTGTTTATCCGACAACTTTTATTGTAGAGTTAAAATATGTAGTCTTTAGGGTTAACAAGTAACTTCTTCATAGCTCCACAATTTTTATACTCTAGTTACTGACGTGATACGCGATCATTAAATTCCACAAAGTTTCGCATTTCCAGGTCCGTGAAATGCACGAATTTTTCATGGATGGCGTTCCATTATGTCCTCACCTCCTTTCATTAAATATTCATCATAGCTATAACTCATCTTTCTCCGTTTTGACACCAGTTTTCACGCGATCTCTAGATTCAATCATTGCCACTCTACTTGCATTGAAGAAAAAACCCCAAATACGGTACAACCAGATTTTTTTCTATGCATTTTAGTCGAGAATATTTTACTATGTAAAATAGTCGTGCAAATTTTATTGTATAGCAATTACATGAATGAAAAAAAGAATATAAAATCAGAAATCCCAAATAACTAAGTATAGCTAATTTTTTCTGTGCATTTTATTGGAGAATATTTTATTATGTAAAATAGCCATACGAATTTTATCGTATAACAATTACATGAATGAACAAAGGGATATAAAATCAAAGCCAATGTAGATGGCTTAAATTTGCCATAAAACTGAATGTTTGAAAAGTGGAAGATAAAATATTGTAAATGGCTAAGACATTTATTTTGATTTTTTATAAAAATTTAAAATATTCTGTTCAAGATATCAAAAGTCAAACAAAGATAGTAAAATATTGGCAGAAGAAGTTGCCAAAGCAATCGCTCGCGAAGAAAATTTATTTGAAAGTGCCAGAAGTGATTCAGTTTTGTTAATAATCGACCGAAGCGAGGATCCAGTAACTCCCCTGCTGAATCAGTGGACCTATGAAGCTATGGTATTATTAACTCATTTGATTTTTGCTTCATCTCAAACTTATGTTAAAAGTTTTTTTGACATTTAAGTATGTGCAAAACAAAGGCATTTTGCGTTTTGTTACGTTATTCCATGTTTTAGGTCCATGAACTTGTGGGGATCAACAATCATCGCGTTAATATAAATACGGGTTCAAATAGCGGTGCTCTAATACTTTCTCCTCTTCATGATCCGTTTTATTCAAAGGTATGGAAGTTCGTACGACGGATTAAACTTTTACTCTTTTATCCTAAAAACCTTATGCACATTGTCTGCTTTTTTGAAAGTATCGTTGTGCCACCTGTTAAACAAATCGCAAAATGGATAAATTTAACGCAATTTTTCATAATCTTAAGAGGGTTCAGTTTGATCGATATTTACTAAGCCAGTGTGTTTTAAGAGCTGATAGCAAAATATTAGTGAATGGATATAAATCAAACTGCATTTAATAATGAAGGAAACAGTGTGTTATTTTAGAAGCTGATGACGGACTTACAATTGCTTGGTTTTTTTCAGAACATGTATGCTAATTTTGGTGAAACTGGCCAGAATATCAAAGAGCTAATAACAGAATTTCAACGCAAATCACAAACCAATCAAAAGCTTGAATCAGTTGCTGATATGAAAAATTTTGTTGAACAATATCCGCAATTCAAGAAGATTTCCGGTAAATAAGATGTGCTTTAATAATATAACAGATTGCCGGCTTTTTCTTTTATGTTCATTTTTTGAAAAGAACTTTTTTTAAGAAGACAACTTAGACAAGAATACATCCATTCATTGTTTGTACCGGGGTAAAGATGCGTGGCGCAGCATGAGCTGCATACAATTCCGTAATAAGCAATTGTTTATTGTTTTCTCGTAGAGTACTGTAGAGACTTTTTGTGTGCGGAACAGTAGGCGGAATGTTTAGTAGAAGAGTCATGCTCTGAAAAAATGAAAAATATAAGTTAAATTTGATTACTGGTTCAGATTGGAGAAACCAAAAGTATTTTCGTTTTGAAAAGTATTAAAATAAATCAATTTTCAGGCACGGTTACTAAACATTTGACGGTGCTTGGTGAGTTGTCAAAGTTAGTAGCTAATCGGAATTTGCTTGAAATTTCTGAAGTAGAGCAGCAACTCGTAAGCGGTGGTGAGCATTCACATTGTTTGACTACTGTTCGACGTCTTTTGCAGCATGAACAAACGACGGATCTCGTAATTTTTTCTTTTGCAAAAAAACTGGCTTTATTTTAACATTTTTTGAACATTTCTATGTGATTTACCTTTATTTTATTTCAAAACAATATTTAAAATTTTCCAATCAATTATGATCGTAAGTCAGCACTTCATTAAAAACTTTTGAGTTCAAAGGAGTTGTATGGATTAGACTTGCATTTAATATTTTCAATATATGTATCTGTGCCAAAAGAAGGATGCAGGAGATGCACAGTGCATAATGAAAAAAAGGAGAACCGATAAGAAGAATTAGGAAATTCTGAGAATGATTGTTCGTGTTATCCCATTTAAGTGTTTATATACTGCCATTTAGGATGCAACAAGGCTAGTGATGTTATATGCTCTACGATTCGAGAATCATGCTAATAGCGACATCCACGGTCTGGTGCAGTTGTTAAGACGGAAAGGTGTAAGCAATCAAAATATTAAGGTATACATTTGTGAGAATTATTCCCTCCACTCCTGATTTCGCCCTTCGCTTTTATTGATCTTAGAAAGTTTATATTTTTCATATATATATAATCCCGAGTCATAAGACTGCTATCATTGAGTGGTCATTTCTTAAGAAAATAAAACCTTTTATTTTCCAAAAAAAAAATTTTTAAAAAAAATATTTTTAAAAAAAAGGAAAAAGCAAAATGGAGTTTTTGCTTACAAAATAAAATACATTCAATGACATATAGGTACATACGTGTAGGTAATAAGAGCTGTTCTCGATTTCGGCGGTTCAGCTCGCCGACAAAATGATCTTTTCGGTGGCACAGCAATAGCAATGACAAAACGTTTCATCAAAGGTTTGAAAGGAGTTGAAAATATTTATACGCAGCATGAACCGTATATTACTGAATTAATTGATTCACTGTCCAAGGGTCGTCTCTCCGATACAGCTTACCCATATATATTGCCACCACTGCCGTTAGTAATTTTTGTTTAATGTTCCTGAATTATTCATTAAATATATTATTATCTTTATTGGTTCTGCACTCGAGATTTACGGAAATTAGGCTTTCATTCTGGATTTCTAAAATTATTGAGATTCAAATAGTTTGCTTTCTTATTTTATTCTTTGCTGAAGTGATTCTGCTGACCGTAACTCAATTAAGGATAAAATTTCAGTGAAATTAACTTGGTAGGTTGTGAAATTTTCTAATTTTTCTCAAATTTAAAGCATCTTTCAAGTCAGCATTAAAATTCTATAGGAATCGTGTAGATAATATAATTCTATTCGTTATTGGTGGTGCTACTTACGAGGAATCACGGGCTGTGTATATGGGAAATCAACGTGGACGAACTTCGCCTGGTCCATCGAATACTATCCTTCTTTCTACGGCAATGCTTAATTCCACTAGGTGATTTCCAAAAATTTGAATGTTAAAGTTGCGCAACACTGCTCACATTCTTCCTGCCTCTATTCCTTTCTTTTTATTTTGGTAGGTTAAATAAAATGAAGTGAATCCGGCATAAAATGTTGCTCACAATTTATAACAGCGCAAGTTATAAAGTTGTTTGCTTCATATATCCTATCTTAGGACTTTGTGCGTTACAGCCATTATGTTGTTTATATTATTCTTTTGAATTTTTTAACTATTAGAATTTTTTGAAATACCCATTTTGTTTTCAGTTTTATTGAAGAACTTTTGGTGGCTACGACAATCGGATGAACGGCCTAATTTAGTGTAACAAAATCTGTGATTAAAATGATACCTATTGAATGTAATTGTCGATATGTAAGAAATGAAGATAATCTGTTTCAATCATTCTTATGTTTACTGCAAATTCAAATAAAATTCATGGTTTACGACTATCTGCAATTTGATATGAATCATCAGGAATGAATTATACGTAACAAGTAAATGCCTTCAAGTCTAAAAGTACTAAATATCTTCAAGTCTTTTAAACTGACAATGAAGGACTACACAGCTATAAGATAATCGCTAAAAAAGCTTTTCATCGGTTGAGGTAGTTCGAAATCTGCGGGAAATGAAGTGGGACGAAATGGTCGTCATAAATCTAGTCAGAGTGATACAAATGCATCATCGGCATTTACCGATTTTGGTGCACCGAAGGATGGGGATTCTGTGATGTCTGTCTTTGGGACTTTGAGGTGTTTCCCCTAGTGATCTTTTGGGACGGAGGAGAGGTAACGGAGTTCGGTGTAATATCGGATTGGCAGACACTTTAAATTAGCTTACAAGTGAAGTTGTTAGAATTACATAGTGTAGAATCATGTCACGTACGCACTCCAAAATAATCAACTGTGTTCTGGAGAGGAATAAACATTCGGATTGATGAGAAATAATTAGTCACTTTACTCCGGGTATTAGCGGACCAATAATCTATGCAGTGTTTTGGTTTCAACCCATAAAATCACGGCGGAATAACTCGTTGTTTAGTGGAATCAGGATTCTCTTTCTCTTGAGAAGCTTATGTCATCGAATATCGCTGAGAAACATTTTACTTAAATAAGAAATATTAGAATATAAAGTATTTCTGTGATCGATGCGAATATGGTAACTTAAGAAATAGAACCAATGGAACTATTCCGTATTTAAGAGTACGGATTCAGCTAGATCCATTTTAGGCGAATATGGGTTTTAGCGTTGTTAAACAATAGTTTTAGCATACACGGACTGGTTTAGCATACACGAATGGTTTAACATATACGAAGCGTTGTATAAAGCATATACGGGTTTTGGCTTAGATTTCCATATGATTTCCGTAAAATTTCGCAATGATTATAAGAAATTGATTTCTGCTTTTGCAGATTAAAAACAAATAGAGCAACATATTTTTTAATTGTGTTTATAAGCTATGTTTCTCGGCATTTAAATTGACGCATATATGTTCAGTACTTTGTTAACTCAGAAATATTATAAACTACTCAACGATATCTTTTCAGCTTATGCATCTATTCAGTGAAAAATTGTTTATTGATACAGTTCATTCTGGAGAGAGAGATTGGATAAACTGAGCTTGTGTAAAGTAATGTATCGTCTGTATACTGCTACGCTTATGTTCTGTATCTTGAAAATCATCTTCAGAGTTCATAGAATTTCCAGGATTGTTCTCTTTGTTGATATATTTGCAAGACAAAAATTATATTACAATAAAAGCCAGAGATACCCCAATGGCGAAACAATTCATTAAATTTGTTAAGTACTTTATCGTTAATGGAATTGTTCGTTTATTGGCAACTTGCACGCTACAATTTGTTTTATTGTGAAATTAATGATTGTCATTTTTAGTGATTTTCTATATCGGTCTCTTTAACTTGGAAAATTTCAGGCTCTGGTAACGAAAGTCAGATCTTGTAGAAAGAGATAACAAATAATCGTTGATAAGGAACGGATATATTGAGGCTTAAATTAAACTCATTTATAAGGTTAATTCCATTTAAAATTGTGAAAAATAATGCTAGAAAATGTTGCTGTTAAAGTTTGTAGAAGTTTGTAGAATGATAAATGGATGAAAATGGAAAAACAATTGGATATTTGATATTCTCGTAATATTTCAGCTTGATTTTTTGTTTCTTGAATTAAAGTGAGTTTAATCAAATGCGCATGTGTAAGTGTTAATAGTAATTGGATTTTTTGCGTGCCTTAACTGCATGCCTTATTTTTAAGGCCTCTTTGTTACCATATCCGCCATGCAGTGACACTGTCGGTGGAACACATGCATTGATTTTTGTGTATTAATTCGAGATTGTTAAGAGGTATTTCGAGTAGGGATAAATTATAGCGGCTAATAAGCGATTGATTTGGAACTTAGTGATAGGTGACAATGCAACTGTGTCTTGGTGATAGGTGACAATGCAACTGTGTCTTGGTGATAGGTGAAGCGCAGTAACAATAAGGTCATCGCTTTGTGTATTATCCGAAGCGATTGTAAATGATGAAACTATATATCGGGCATTTCTAAGTGCAATGTTTTCTTATACGTGCTCATTTTAGGTGAAAGTTTTTTACGAAATTCTAGATGATTTAGACTGCAGTTTTTGAAATTTTTTCTGGAATTAGAGAATGGTGATAGCGAGTTCGCAAGAGTAAGATAAGGAAATAACAGAAACTAGATGAGTACTAAATGGAAGTCACTCACTGATCTCGTTTTTATTTGATTTTCTTTGGTTTAATTGTTATAGGGCCGTGCTTTCTCCGAGAGTTAACACGTTTACATGACGTATCACCTGCGTGTGCATCCCCAAATCCGATCAGTTTGAAAGAGCCTTAGAGGTGTTGTGAATTGTTATACTGGTGGTTGTCGTTTAGTATTGAATGGAAGGCTGACTGGATGATTTGTGTGTGATGGAGGGTGTATAAATGTGTGTATAGGTGTGTGTGTGCGTGTAAGTGTGAGTGTGTGTTGATATATCTGGCATAAGGAAAAGAAAAGGCAGTAGGGAGAGGGAGAGTGGTAGGAAGTGTACAGCATGTCACATAGTTAAAGGAAGGGTATGCGACGCAGCTTGAAGACGCAATCGTTTCGCCCTAATGTCTTGTATCTGGTGATCGCTTATTCCTCTCCTATATGGTGCAATCTGTCGTTCTTATGAACATTTCTTTTTCATTCCCACAAGAAAAGTAGGTTAAGTGAAACAGTAAGACAGCGAAGAGCGAGAGGGACTCGAAAGGTCGAGCATGGCAGCTGGTGTCCACGGTGAAGGGAGAACAAAGGGTTTAAAGGTCGAACAGACAAGAGTGACTGATGTCCACGAAGGGAGGGGCATTGCCGTGGCTGCTTAGTGGCCGATATTTCTCATCAATTCTTGCACCGGCTGGTGTGTACGTGTGTGGCTTGGAAGAAAGAGGAGTCGAGAGCATCTGTTCGTGCTTCCTGCAGCACGCTCAGCTCATCACTGTGCTCACCCTTCACTCCACCCCGTTCCCCGCTCGTGTTAGATCCATTCCCCGTTCATAGAGCGCCATCTTTAAATCGATCCCTCCCAATTTATTTACCCCGCGTTAGGCGTTGAAGTGATGTTGCATATTATATATATATCCGTCGATCTGCTGTTGGTTACTTTGCCGCAGTTTTGTTCAGATTATTCTGTGCTGAGGATTACATTACAGTGAACATTTGCACAACTTCGCTTCATTAAATAGGAAAAATGAAAGGAAATTTAAACCTGAACTCTTTCTAACACTATCAGTAATCAGACCGATAAATCTCTTATAAAAGATACCGTTCAGCAATAAAACGTTCTGTTATACTTTCTGTTCATTTTTTTACGAAGTTTAGCTGAAAGGAAACATATTTCGAATGGCTACTGGTCATATTGAAACAGTCTTATTAATAGGAGACTGTGCAAAACTGAATTTACTTTGAACTTGTTATGAATCACCAATTTTATGAAGATTTTTAAACATGATTTTGGATGCTTGGGCATGAAAATGACCGCTTTTTTGTAGGTCGTTTGTTTAGTTCAAAAATGAACATAAATGTTACTTACAAATGTTGTATGCATAAGCCTTTTTACCTGAGACCAATAAACTATTAGAATTATTTCACTTTCATTAGTGCCTTTATATGAATATGTTTCTTGTTCATCTTTGAAGTGATGATAATGAGACAATTGGCTCTGCTTAACGAGTTCAGTAGACGGTGCATGTACATGGTAAATCGATTTACATTTGTTTGATAGAAAAGATATGCTAGACATATGTCGAGTTTTAATACGCAGTTTTGCAAGTCAAAAATAGATGATGTAGTGTATGGTGGATCCATCCTTCATTTTAAATCTTTCCCATTATTTAGTTTGTATTATCTTCCAAGCAAGCTTGTGGTTTTTTCCAGCCACAACTTTTTGTTTTGTTATCAACAAATATCACTGATTTGACTGAAATGGACATGAAAACGATGTATTCACATATGAATGCTTTTGTTCAAGTCCAGACGTGCAGAAGAGTATGGAAAAGTCAGGAAAAAACGGAATGGATTACGTTTCGTCTTGCCTTGAACTACTACCTACGATGTGCGGTTGTTGTGCAGTTAAAAGCATATTGGAGATTCCTCATCATTTTTTTCAGATTGAGAGAAAAAGCTATAATCCGGTGGTGGCGCTTCCTATTTGATTTCTATTTTGCTATATTTGGTCTTTGAAGTTAATTGGAATCAATACATTAAGCATTCGTTAAACATATACGTACTGCGCGTACGTCATTCTTGGTTTTTTTTTTGGAGTGAGTTATTTCAGTTGAATTATAAAAAATTTTCTGAAAGTAAAAGTTATAGAATCAATATTTTGTAACAGAGCATTATCTGTAGAAGAGTCGTGTCGAAATCTTTATGAATCGCTTTGCATCAGCGTTATTAGACTTGAAAGGTGTCATGAAAATCATTAAATTTTTTGTTTGAAATTACTTTTTGAGTAATTAAATTGTATTGAATTTCAGGACAAATATTTTTAATTTAAAGATTTTCGGTGCAGCATACAGGAAATAAATTTCGCGTTTTGAAAATTCTTCTGCTAAGCTTTCCTTTCAAATTTTGAATTTTTGATAACTAATATAAAGTTCTTCATTTCCTGTAGTTCTCAAGACCTTTCTCCAGTATTTTTATGGTTTAACTTGTGGTGTTTCAGTTTGTCAAGTTTCCCACAATCACAATTCTTTCCTTCACGCATTCCGTTGTTTTTGATTGTATCTTGTTAAATTTATATAATTCTGGATGTCTTCCGCGCGGGGCGCTGCGGGTGCCGTTAAACCTAAACTCCACAACGTAAATAGTATCTACGCGGGCAAAAATCAAAACGCCGTCAAGGCGCCCGGTACGTATATTTTATCTCATTTTTCGTAATTTTTTTGCAGATAATTTTCCGATCCTAAATATCAGTAGATTAGTTGATTTGGACGACAGTTTAAGTGCATGGGCGATTTTTCCCATCTTGTACATTTGAGATGCGGTGTCAACAAATTTCGTTGTTTTGAAGTTTGGCAGTACCACTTTATAAACATTTGGGATATTATGGGCTGTTTACGAACAATTTCTTATGCGTCAACTCGCATTTCAGGTGCGGGCAAGCATGGCGGACTTCAAAGTCTTGGTAAAACAACAGCAGTGGTACGTCGTATGCCACCACCTGCTACGTTACCTTCGTTGAGGGCGGAAAGTCAAGGACAAGATCCTAATATTGCACTTGTGCCACAGGGTGGCACTGGTTGGGCTAAAGGGGATGCGAGCGCGGCAAATGGCCAAACAGCGGATTTTCAATCGGTATGAGGAAAATTGCTAAAACAATCAGTATTAAAGTTCTTCATCATTTCGCCTCCCTCCCCGTAGAGTTTCTCAAGCGGATTTTGAAAAACACGAGCCAGTCAAAAACTATAAACAAAACTATAACTTCGGTTGTTTTGTTCTAATGAGAGAATTTGTATCACTTATAGCTATTGCTGCGGCGATTAAAGGACATTTTCAGGTTACAAAAATGGAATATTATGCGATTTTTGATAAAGTTGTTCTGGAAGATCTAATTTCAGGATTTCTGAGAATTAATTTGATGGATGTCGAAAAGTTTTTACAGGTGGTAAAATCATCAGCTAGTTTAACGGGATCCACATCAACAACAGCAGTTACATTAAATACATTGGGCGGGATAAATAACGGCAGCGGGCCACATACAGCAGATTTACGGCCAAAATGGGCGAAACAACCAAATGTTGCAGAAGCGCAAGCAGCAGCACTGCAGAATGCGAGTACAGTAACGGCCTTATCAAGGGATTTTCCATCTCTTGCAGCTGCCACTGCAACCATCGCAAAACAGTCCAGCAATGCTTTAACCGAAAGTCTCAAACCACAAAGTTAGTTTTCTATTGAGTACTTTATAGACGCCTGCGAAAATTTTAGGCGGAATAAGGGAAAGCGAGTAAAATGTGACAGACGACCGGTTCATTGTGTTTTCTTTTATATCTTGTATTAATAGTCATACAAGTGCCATCGTTATCAATTATAATTTGGAATCGTCCTGAAGATATCAGATCTTTACCCATTTAATTTATATCAGTTTTATAATTAAAGAGAGATATAAAATCCAATTGCATCTGAAATAATAGTCCGGAAAGTAGTTTGGTGTTCGAATGTGCATACTGTTTAAGCGAATGAGTTAAAGAACTAGTACTTACTCGATTCCAGAGTCTGGAAGTTGGCGTGCTGGAGGCAGTTCGGCAGTATCACGGAACGAAGAGGTACCGCAGGTGACGCTACATTCGCACTCAGGACCATCTCATTTATCTACTACTGTAACTGCACGTGTTGCAGAGAGACAGGTATTTTGTATAGTATTGTTAATAATGTAAGATTTTTTTTCTCAGAAGCATTATCGCATGGTTGGTTGTAATCCTCTTTTAATCTCTATTCCAACTTTCACCAAATAGGAAACTTAATTTCCAAGTTTTGCACTTGCAGTTACCCTCTCGATACTACGACACAACAGCAGTGCTACCACCACCACCTCCAAACGGTACATTCCAAGTGCCGAAACTGCAGTCAACCATATCCGTTTCCAACTCAGGTCCTTTGGAAACTTTGAACAATCAATCATTATCAACAGGTTGGTTATTATAGTTCAGTCAAGAGGATGTACAGTTATGTGCAGAACGAGTTCAGTTCGTTGATGAAGTTTTGGTTTAAAAGTGAATTTGATAGATGTTTAACAGTGTTAATTTTTTCTTAATAATTCAAAACATCAGAATTTTGAGTGGTTGCGGTCCAAGCTTCCTCTTTCTTAATTGTCATAAGTTTTTCCATTCGTGTTATAGAAAACGCACCAATACGAAAAACGAGTTGTCCAGGCACAACAAATGTTGCTTCAGTAACTTCTCAGTATCCAGCAAATGTAGCAGTTCCACCGCCAAATTACTCCCGACCACCACCAAATTATATTCCGGCGCAGGTGTGATGCAAAATTTGATCTTTTCATGAATAATTTTATTGAAATGGGACCGTTAAAATTAATTTTAGTCGAAAAAATGAAGAATATTTCTGTTCAGTTCTCTAGTGGAATTTTTGAGTGCACCTCATCGGGCAACAACTACTGCATACTTTGTTCATCGACTTTTGTTGTTTTTAATAAGAACTTTAGTTACATTACTACTATTGTGCATTTTAGACGGATTCTGCGCGAAGCGGGTCAAATTATGGTGTACAATTGCAGCCATCCGAAGACGGAACAGATGGAAAGCAAATACAGCCGAAAAGTGGACTTGGCGACGAAGGTTGCAGCAGTCGGCGATATTTTGAGAAAGTGAAAGGTGTACTAACTATTTGAATTCAATTATATAATAAGGGATAACGGGTGTTTCTATCGAGATCTTCATTTTTCGTGTGATGAATTTAATCCTCCATTACACAAGATTCAAAGAGATGTTCAAGTAATATATGACAGAGATTTGTTTCATACGGGAACCTATATAATTTCACTAATTTGTTTAGACGGTGTTATGCTTGAAACTGCGCAGGTAGTGGTATCAAGTGATATCCAATCGAATTTTGCTCGCAGGGTGATGTGTGATAATCGGTAATTTTGTTGATTAGTACCGAATATTATTTAACGGGTCTAAAATTTCAAAATCTCGTTTTTGATTGTCATTGTTTCCATTGTAAGAATTTATCACATAAGTTAGTAGAGCATAAATGATATCACATATACATAGATTTCATGCTAATTCTGAAGAATTGAAACGATTGCAGAAGTGTTGATTTCGACGAATTCACTGCTAGAGACAAAAATGAGTGGCATGATGACGAAACGCACAGATGGCTTAATGCGATTGGCTGTACTGGTCAGGAATCGCAGCAATGTGCTTCCGAATTTTCACAAGTACATTTTCAACATACAAGTAGCAAGGTTTAATAAAATTCAATTTTTCGGAATTCAATATAGAATACTTTATCTTAAGAATTGTTATAACCGAGATCACGACGAGGAATTGGATCGCAGACAGAATATTGAACGTGAAGCGGCCATCGAACGTTCACGTCAAAAAAGGCGTATGGCGAGTCAAGTATGCCGATTTAAATATTGATACAATAATTTTAACATATAACTCATTTGTTGCGATACCTTCTTGATTTGTAACTGGTTTCTCAGTGGTATATTTTGGATTTGGGAATTTTGAGAATTCTCCACTTTCGTTCGGGTTTTGCAAAGTTAACGGAATCATTAAAAAATATCATCAAAATCATTAAAAAATAAAACGCGGCCAACCAGCATAAGTAACCTTGCTCATCATCAAGCGGTATTTGTAATCGCTGACGGATTCAACCTGCCAGTGAATTGTGAAATTCATACATCTGTTAATGTTTCTTGAAATTGATGAACTATCTCGAAAATGAAGTATTCAGAGCTCAGCAGTATCGGAGAGCGAAGGTGGAAGCGTACCATCTGGTTATGGATCTGTTAGAATGATGAACGCATATGAAAATGATTCATATCCTGATTGGGATCAATCTGCTCGTGGCAACTTTGGATTGGCAAAGGTTAATACTCATACAACTCGAAATATAATAAGCCTAACTGAAGTGATGCTGATAGCTGTATCATCTCTGTGCATTTTAGAGTAATGATGATTCAATGGATCGAGTTGGAGAGTGTTGGGGTGTTGTAGGTGGATACGATCTATCCACTCGGAAGGAAGAGCAGGAAACAACACAGCGAATCGAATTTCGAATGCTGAAACGTCCAGAAGGTAAAGGAGATGTTTCACAGCAATTATCCCAAATGGGTGTCCAAGACAACGAGACGCATGATGAAGATGAAGGTGAGTGTTGACAGATTTCCACAGAAAGTGACGTATACATAAATGTATGGAGCAAAATGGGAAAATTGGGAAAAGGATGCATATTTAAAATTTATAGCACAAAAAAAACGATATTTAGGATTAGTGTTAACGCAGAATATATTTTTTAGAACAACAGCTAACAAAACTTTCACGACCAGCAGCAAAAATCGTTAAAAGGATGGCTCCTGGAAGTATTCCACCGATCGAAGGAGTTACTAATCAGTCTTCTGAAACAATCAACTCACAAACACAGCGCAAACTGACACAGCAACAAAAGAATACCGACAAGAGGGCTAGTGACTCACGTATTCAGGCCTCTTTACAAGGACAACAACAAAAGGTTATAAATCTACATTTTACTGCAATTGGGCGAAATGATAGGATAATGTCTAATAAGTGCCTGGATGCTGCATTTATGATAAATCAAGAGCATTGAGAATCTTTTTTATAATGCAAGTGGTCTTATGTTCATTAAGGCCTAATGTCGCATTATTTTCAGGAATCATTTTCTTGACAATAAATAAGTCATCATGACGTTTATCCTTCTCTACGTTTAAGGTAGGGCCTGGAAGAGGAGGATAATTTTTTGCCGATTTTTCAAGTAATCATTGTAAATAAGAAATGTATATTTCGCAGGCATTGTTTCATCGTGAGATTGATGGCAATTCGTCGAATGAATGGGTAATTCAAAAGCAGAAAACTTCGTAAGTTGATATGTAGTAGTGACTTTGACAGGTGATACGTATCAATTTTGTTTGCTAATAATGCTATAAGATCTTGATATATGTTTTTGTTCATCAGATTGAGTAGCACGTCACAACAGTCACACACGGCAACGAAAACACGAGAAAATGGAGCCGAAAGTACACACATTACAAACGCGTCACAGGCGTTGATGGTAATACCACCGGCAGATAACGTTTGGGAAAAACGAGCAGAGGAGCGTGAAAGTGCGGAAAGGGAACGTGCGGCACAACAAGATGCTCTAAATCAGATGCGTCTGCAGCAATTCCCTACAGTAGGTGAACAGTCAGGTGAGTTTCTTTGGATTGGTGGAGAATAGGTGCTGTCTGACTTTCTTCCTGTGCGATGTTGGCGGCTACTGCGTGTAATGTAGCTAGTTAACTATTAATCATATTTTTTTCGTGTTTAGGTATAAGTGCAAACGAACCGCTCGATGAGAATTCATCGGTAGGGCGTTCCGAAAATTCTTATACAAAAAATGAACACCAACATGGTCGAAGAACTGGTAATAGAAGTCGAAATCGAGAGACGCACAAATGGGCGGAAAAAAAATACAGCTATAGTCAGCAGCACGATGAAGTATGTATCTCAGATTATTATGTAGCAGAGGAAGAGGAAGATGGAAATGGAGGGAGAGATGGAAGTGGTGGACTTTTCCACGGTCAACGTGAGTTTGTGAATTCGAGAGTGCATCGTTCCGGTCGTGGCTCGTCATTGGTAAATTCTCGTGGTAGCAGAACTTATGGTTGCGGTAGTTTCTTGGGAATACGTCGTGGTGGCAGTATGCCACACCAACATCTTGGCACTGGACAAGCACACCGCAACCAAAATAGATGTGAGCGAAATCAGCGTCGTGGGAAATGTCAGGAACCTCAGGTTAACTTCTTTTTCTGTTATTAATTTTTGTTCTTCCGAACACGGTGACTAAGAGTAAAACTCATCGATATTAATCCTATGCTTTGAAACTCAGTAAAATCCAGTTATTATTACTGTGTCGGACGGATAACTGTGGTATCTGGGAACTGTTATAACCGTAACATCTAGGAGTTGTCATGAATTTTGAGCCAGGCAGTTTTTTCTTGGAAGTTATCAATATATCTTGAACTTATCAACACGACTCTTAATCTTTCTTCAGTACTTCTTCGTTAAACTGATTTTATGTTTTTAGGAAGATAATTTCTCCAATATGGGCGAATTTCGTGTCGAGGATACTTATGTGAATGTACCGGCTGTCAAAGAATCGTTAGCAGAAGAGAAAACAGAAGATAAAGTTTCTAGTGCTGTAGCTGTAGTGCAGGATCAGGAGCGTCATATTCAGAGTAGAAATACCACTCGTCAGGGTGGTCCTCATCGTAGCGCACAGCAATTATATGAGCCAAAAAAGCGTCAGGAATATAGTCGTACGGGGAGAAGAGGTAAGTTCGAATGTACAAATTTCTTTTTATGAATTTCCGTTCTGATTTCTTTATTTAATATCTGTGATTGATTTATTTAGAACATCAGACGACATTTTGTTTAGGGCTGTTTTATAAACTGTTGTAAACATCCATGAAGAGCACAGAATAAGCTACAGTTTCTGCCAGAATAAAATGGGATTTTTTTACCAAGAATGTAAATTGAATAGAAATTTAATATTAAATTTGTAGGTACCCGCGCCGGTCCAACAAAAATTAACCCTCAGCGCAGTGGTGATGTCCACATAACAGGTGCTTATCAGAACCCACCTGAAAGAGGGAAGCGGAAAAAAACTAGCGAAGACCATAGGGTGGTAGATGATGAAAGTTCAGTTCGAACTCATGGCGATGGATCATACAGACGGGGTGGGATTCGAGGAGCACATAGCGTATGTTTCTTAACTTTTCATAATTGAGATAAGCATTATACCTCAGATCTCTCCCATTCTGTTCCGTATTAATGTAAATCTGGAATGTACCTTTTGATGTTTAATTTGTTCTTGTTTATGCCTTGTGAGTAACTACCAAATTCTACGATTTTAAGTTTATTTAGATCCATACCTATGTAATATTTGTTTTTTATTTATGTTAAAAATGACATTAAATGTTCTACTTTTATTAGCTAAAATTTCACAATTATTGTCATGACAATTTTTTTTGAATATCCTTGTGTAAGGCTGTCTTTACCATGGAAGTATTAGGATGGTTTATTTCGCCAAAATTTACAGATACGTCGACGTAGGCATTCTGGTGTACGCCAGAGTAACGCTCGTGGTAATAGTCAGTCATACTGCGGCGGCAGTGAACGTACAACTCAGTTGAAATCACCAGTTAATTCAGAAGGCCATGAAGAATGGGAAACAGCTTCCGAGAGTAGTGATTTCGTAGACCGACAAAAGTAAAAGATTTCTTATATTTGATAACTTGAACCAGTTAATTATGAGTAATGCGTTTTCTGCTCCATTTTCCTGATTTTTTACAGGCAAACAAATACCTCCTGAAATTAGGTTTTATTAGATTTAAATACTTGAAGTTCTGACTTATTGGTATAAGATTACTATATTTTCGAATCATATGAGAAGTGAATTTGCAGACAAGTACGGCGTCAGAATGCTCCATCAAAATATAGCAACTCACGCAGAACTATTCGCTCTAGCAATGGTATTTAAGTTTCAACTTTAATGCTTTCTTCTTCCTCCTTCTTTACCATATGGATGTGGGAATAGTAAATTATAATTGTTCAAGGGAGAAATTATAAACTGTTTGCATTATGATGCACCCGTATTATGTGATAGCTTTTTACAGGACGTCGCGAAAGCGGTACCGGAGCAGTGCCCAATCGTACTTCAAGTTCAAAAAACGTGAAACCCGCCAGCACTACGTCGCGCGTGGCCACCCGCGGTGCCCAGTTAGCAAAGGAGGTATGTTTTGCACGATATTGTTCCAAAAATATCACGAAATTTTGTAGTGTTAAATTGGTATTACCTAAGTATTTAAATGTAACCTAATTTAATGAAGCAGGAAACAGCGCCGATAACGCAGGGTGAAGCAGCACGAAGATCCGATACCTGCAGAGACGGGCTGGCGGGAGTGGATATCAACAATGCAGGTGTAATCGTGATTGATGATCATCCAGATGGACAAGTCGATGATGCCACAGAGAATAATGATGATTTCGAAGAAGTGTTGTCTAAGAAAAGTAGAAAACTTCGACAACAGCAAATCAATGAACAGTTAGAAGCAGTATGTTTTACGGTTGATAAATGTATTATAGTTTAGTTTGGCAATGTGCAGATGTTCCCTTGAAGTTTTTGCTTCGGGAACCGAATAATGTTTTATTTTTGCATGATTTAATTCATTTTATTATTTATTTTGAGCATTTTTAAAAAATTTTTAAAAAAAATTGATCTAATAGAAGAAATGAATAGATAAAGAAGTAGCGAACTTTTGTGATTTGTCATAATTTATATAGGATTTTATGTTAGGAGTAAGAAATTAATATGAGGAGAGTGAAATTATTTAGATGCGATTTTAAAAATATTCAGTTTCTCTTGATAATTTTATCAGTTTCGTTCTAGGAAGAACGTCGAAAAGTTAAGGAAAAGGAGAAAATTGAGCGGCGTAAAGCGCGAGTGCAAGCAAAGCGAATAGGAAAGAAATCAGCGACGAAGAATGACCGTGTTGGTTCAAACGGTACTAATTTAGCTGGTGAAGTTGCTGCGAAAGCGAGTGCTTTGAACACGAATAGTCATGGGGTTAGAGATACTGGTATGAATCGTCCAGTTTTGACAAATGCACAAAATACTCTCAACACTACTGTTTGGAATAGTTCGATTGTTCGTGAACAAGCAACACATCCATCTCCACCAGTTGAAAAGTATGGATTTCTTGTAAAGTTTTCAAACATTTAACTTTTTGGAGTCAGAAATTTTCGACTTTCATTTTGTTTTTGCAAATATTAGTAGTATGAAATCTTGATTTATTAAAATTGAATAAGCAGAATATATCCATGTCACTTAGAACTTTTGTTTTTTAAAACTCTTACATGTATAACTCTCTTGTTTTAGTCGTCCGGTAATACCATCACCTATAGCTCGCCCTACACCGAAAGCGCGCATTTCTTCTGCCTCAGTAGTAAACACTGCAGTGAAAAAAGAAGTTGACTTATGGACAGCACCAGAAGGAGAGCAACGGCTTCATACTACACGAAAGGTTTTTTAGCTTTATTTCCTGTTGAAATTGGAACGATCTCATATATCTGAGGTCATTTTAATTTATGTTACAGTTTAGTAGTATGAATTAGTATGATGATTCGACTTTTTCCAATCGATGCATTATTAGACTGGTATTCAAAAATTTCAGCTTTCGGATGGTACGCTGAAAAAGAGCAATGCAGAATTTACGACAAATTTTAGCGCTGCTGCTGCAACTCATGGAGAAAATGGGCAGTACCAATTTACGTTTGATCCTTCCTTGCAAGATAACACACAGAGCTTGGTAATTTATTTCAAACTCAGAAACTCATGCACTGATAAGTTACCCTGTAATCAACGGATATTGACAAGAGTCAAACTAAAGATAATGCCCACTAAAGATATCGCAATGGCAATGATGGCAATGTTGCTGATGCAAGATTATATACTGTAGAACTCTCAAACAACATTTCTCATTTTAATTGTTCACATTTTGCATTTTTGCTCATCTACCTCATTTCTCATTAAACAACTTTAAAAAACTGGAAATGTAATATTTGAATTAATTCATCAGTCAACTTCAAATTAATGTTTTTTATATTCATTGTTGTATTTCCAGTGTTTTGCAGAAAAGATCATCAAAAGAAGGTTTGGTAACGAAAGATGATGGTACTTCACCTTTGGCAAACGTCGCACTTGAAACAAATGATGATGAATGCCTAAAGCAAAGATTAGATAAAGTCTCATTTATGAATTATTCTTCTTTTCCAATCTGTAGCAACGATTTACTGCTTTTGCGGCTTTTTATTTAATTGTTTTGAATCTTATGGTACCATTTGATTTTTGGCATTTTTCAGGTAAAAGACTTCTGGCCCGGACAACAACAATTCGCAAATAATTTACTTGGAAGTGGTAACGAAAATAATACAATTGCGCCGTTGGTTGCTGACAAAAGCGGATCTAGTAATGTTGGAGTTTCTTCAGTGCCACATGGTCCAAATGTTGCTAAAGTAAATGTTTTATATTTTGAATATTTATATCTGACATCAGTAATAAACTCCTTACAATTTGAAAATAAGTTAATAAAACTCTTGTACCTTCTAGGTTAGGCCACAGCCTCAAGCAAGTGAACAAGTAACAAACAGTACCACTGTAAACTTGAAAGAAGCGAATTCGTCGACTCCGTTTGTTCCGTTGCTTCCACCACCTTCTCCTATTGCATGTTTGCCGCCAGGTAAATCAAATTTTTAAAAACTAGTTTTTTAGGTTCATGCTTGGAATAGGGAATAGAGAGAGATATATGGATTGGTATAATGAATGACTTGTTGGCGCTTGTCTATATTTCATTTTATCATAACAGTCATTACAGGAGCTTACCTGCAGTCTCTTACGCAAGTTCCACCACCGGCGCCATTTCCACACTATTCGATGATGTTTAGCGAATCGTATAACCCGAATTCATCGACTGCTTCTCCTGCTCAAGTGAGTAATTTCTTTCAAAATATCAGTCATTTTGTGTTTCTACACATAAGGAATTTTTTGAATTTGCATCGATGTTGCATTCAATATTTGTTGCAGACGCTAATTGGTAATGCTGTCCCAGCAAGTCAAACTCAGACTGCGCGTTCGCGACCTGCTTCATTTGTCGAACAATCGCAACTCTTCATTCATCCACCTCCCAGTGGTGCAGCCGGAAATAGTATGACCTGGTCAAATGCTAGTCCACAAATTGAATTACTAGCTGGAATCAATGCCACACCTCCTCTTGCTTCTCAGTCTGTCAGTTCTGTGCAACGTTTCCAAGTTAGCTCGGTAAGTATTTTAGTGGTATCATTCTAATAATTTTTTTACCATTAGTATTGCTCATTAAATATATAAGCTCCATTTAAAAATTCATATTACGACACTGTGTAGATTTTGCTCAATTTTGAATTAATTTGAAGCATTCATAATATTTTATGGGTGTTTCAAATGTCTTTCAATCACTTGTTTTCTTTATGAGACCTTTTGAAGCAGGTGTGAAGTATAATAGTTTCAGCCTCGATCTGGTTCCACATTTGGCCCGGTACCGTCAGTTTTAAACAATAACCCTAAGATCCCACATATGGGGCGACCTCCACCTCATCCGCATCAGGTCCTTCCACCACTACACCCACCGCATAATTTCATGGCCCCTCCTCCAGACTTTGTTTCTTTGCAAGGCACTAGTTTGGGTGCTGTCGGCAGTCAACGCAGCGGCGAAACGCACAGTACAACGAATAACCCTTTGTCCAGAAATACAAACAGTACTATGGGACAAATTGCACACTTGCAGCAGGTAGAAATATTTTACTAAAATCTTATTGAAATGGTACTTGAAGCTAATTTCAGTGTAAAAATAAATTTTCATGTAGCATACATTTATATTTCTTTTATGGAAAGTTAATATTCAAGTGTACAAAATTGAAAAAGAAAAAAGTGTTGAAGTGAAGAAATATTTAGGGTATTCATGAACGAAGTATCTATTTTGTTGTACCAGATTTTTGCCTTTCTGTAATAATTTTCAGTGTATTAATTTAATAACACTTGCTTTTCAGCCGTTAAATTTTTCGCAGTCGTCACAAACCGGATACTCTATGTCGGCTGCTACCACTTTCAATCAAGCACCGCAGCTTCATCCATTCACAGCTCCACCACCACCATTGCGTTATCCAACACTTCCACAACTTGCCAGTAATGATGCGAGTGGGGTTGTGACGGCTGGCTGGACAAGAGCCACTGCGCTTTCCTTCAAATATACAAATAGTATGTTTCTGTAGGATTAAATTTTAAATGAAGAGGTTTTATTTCATGACGAGTATTGTTGAAGAAAGCGTTATACCATGTGCTAATTTTTATGATAAGATTTTCTATTTAGGTGCTGTACTCTCAGCAAATCGTCCTCCGTTATCACGTTACCAGTCATCGGATCGTTGGACCGTTCCAGTGAGCCTTCCAGTGCTGTATCACAGCACACAAAATTACCAGGTCTCTTGTTTCATTGAATACTATGAGTTTTCCCTGGGTATAGCAGGTTATAATCGATAGATTTTAAGTTTTGTTTTAATAAACTTAACCAAATAATTTCTTAATTATGTTTGGCATTTTGTTGGCTTTCAAAAATTATGCGATTTCATTTTAATACAAAATAGATGTTTCGTAAGTCGAAAAAAAAATTTTTTTGAGTAGGCTTGTGGATAAACGACATTTTAATTTTAGCATCAAAATGCCAATAAAGACGGGAGTGATGCAGTTATTCATGGAAATATTGATCGCTTCCAAGGAACGCACGTGAACAATACTCGTGGTCCGACACCCGAAGAAAGCAGTGTTCGTGCAAGTTCAGTATCTAGTATTTCTGCTTCCGGCACTACGACTGAACCACTTGATAGTTCAAATCGACAAAAAAAAGCAGCGAAAGTTTAAGTGCTTCCTTCTAAATAGAAGTTGAAACAGAGAATTTTGAGTATGATAGGTAACAGTTTCCAGTTCACGTACTATTGTTAATATCTTTTTTTCTTTAGAGTGCATTGCTTTTTCTGTTATTGCAAAAAGAAATCTGGAAACTGAATTGTCAATTTCTTACAAAGTCTGTGAAAGCCAGAAGATGGCTTTCCTATTTGGTTACTTTGTATTTATATATCCATCCTTGTCTCCTTGCTATTAAGAATTTCATCTTATCTACTACGAAAGTTGGTGTGTTCTGTTGTTCTGTTCCTATCATAAAGTGTTATTATAGATCCATTTGTTCGCTGGGAAAGGAATTTCTTGTGTTCTTTTAAAAGTCTTTATCTCAAGATAGATTAATAATAATAGCTTGGAAACTGAACTCTTAAAAATTCTGGAAGCATATTTCACCAACAAGAATTGATGAACCATGCTTCTAGAACTTAGTTTTTGGCTTTTAAGAGTTATGCATTTGGAACAAGAAGAATAATGGCATAAATTGTTACTGTTGATGAAATATTGCAGTTCCATCAATGAAGTTATTAGAGATTGAATAATTTTTCCAATTTGTCATTTTATAGCAGTTTTTATTCTTACTTTTTTTTTTCATTTAGTATCAATTGTGGTGTACAATGCAACCATGCTGCTGCATTGTAAGATTATCATATGTTAATCTTCATAAATCTGAGATATGTTTTCAAATAATTTACAGTCATTATTTGTTCATAATGCTTTCTTACAAATTTTCTTTTACACGAAACATTTTACATCATCGCTATAAATAGCAGCAGTAGTAAGAAGCAATTGTGTGATTTTCTGCTCTATTTATTTTTTCCACAAGATTTTAAGGTTTCTGAATTGGCATTTCTTGACGTCGACAGATACACCCAAACGCTTTGATGAACAAATATATCATAATAATAAATCATTGATCGTTAGGGATATGCGTCAATGTATCCGTTTGCACGCCTGTAATAGTTTCAGAGAAGTTATAATATGCTATCGAATTCTTAAAGCCTTTGACACCTGATAATACCGAAGGTTATCCCTGTTTTGAGGTATTCGAGATTGGTTTATTTAGATTTTAAATGGTATGTCATGAAACTAGGTACATGTATTATTTACAACACTTACATAGTTCGGCTTCATTCGTTTGCGTAGCTTGAAGTGGTACCAGTGACTAGAGATTGCACGGTTTGAATATATTTAGCAGTTAGCATAGTTGGCAGTTGATTATTAGAAATATAGGGGAACGGATATTATCAGTAGGTCAGATGTTGAACATTAATAATTATTTGTAATAGGTATTGTCCTGATAAGGTGTATTTTGTTTGACTTTTGGGTTTTTTCGTTTTTCATTTGATTGTGTTTCGGATCTTTCCATTTTTCTGTTTAAAAGTTCCTGTCAAATATTTTGCATGATTTCCTTTTCATTATTTACCTTTCAGTTTATCCTTATTTACGAAGTTGTATTTCTCTTTAATAATTTCCGGAAGAAAATTGTTTTTTGCAGCAAGGTGTTGCACGATGCCGTCGTTGCCATTCTAATGCTTTTAATTCGGTTCAACCCGTCAACTTATTCCTGGAATTTGAATTAAAATATTTTTGCTATCCTCGAATCTGGATGATTCAGTTGAACAGAAAGGAACTAAAATTCTTGTTCATACAATATTATTCAAGCTTGGCTTGTTTACGTTCTCTCAGAACTAAGTGCAGTTTGTTTACACATGTCATTCCGTTTTGCCAGATTGTATCATTATTGCTATCGAAGCCCACTGGTCCTTCAACTGCTTCTACCAGACAAATGCTAACTAAAGTGTGTTATAATAAGCTAGTGAACAGTACCATTTGTTAAGTACCTTCCCTCTTTTGAAATAAAATCTTGAAGATAGTGCAATAGATAGTTCGACTTCGGTAGTTTAGGGAAAGGAACGGTGCGTATGGTTTAATGGTATATTTAATATTTAGTGACTTTTGCTGTTCGTCTTATGTCTTGTTTCTCTGAAAATTCTGCAGTCAGAACGTTTTTAAAATATTTTAGGTTAGGGATCGGAAAAAAGTATCCTCTTTGTGTTAACTACAGTGATGTCGGCTATGGAAGCGACATGTTCAAAGAAACTTTGGCAAATCGTTTCTGTGTTGAAATGCCGCAATTCGAGTGTCACCCATCTCCACGTATATGGAACGACTGCTGGCCCAAGAGATGAAGTGATGCAGAAAGTTATTGAAGAAGTGAAGGAGAATGATGAAGTTTGTTTTTTGTTTGAGTTAATGTAGCACAAAGCTGTCCTTTTAAAAGAAACGTTAAGTTTGTGGCGGAAGGATGGTTGTTACGCTAGATTTTTCTGAAAGGTAATAAGTCAAGCTTGCGTATAAATATATTTAACTCTTCGTGTACTGCATTTGTAAAGCATAATGGGAAGAGAAAAAAGAAAGCGTTAGCAATTTTGTTATAATATTATGACTGATATTAATGCTAACAAAAATTGCTAGAAAGTAATGCTGCAAAAACCTGATAGTGTATTACCTGAAGTTCACAAATGATTATTCGGCAATCAGCTATCAAATTGTGTCAACTTTTTCTCTATTTTATACGACAAAGTTATTCAGGTTATGGTTCTACGTGTAAACTGTTACGTTAATCACAGATCTCACAAGTTATTTTGCCAAGGTCTATATAATTTGCTGCCACATTCAAAATCTGGAAGAAAGGTCGAAAATCTGGAAAGTGTGTTTGAGGAGTGCAAAGCAGAATTGGAATATGTGAAGTCGGTTGTTATAGTTGTCATTCTGAATAATGCCGAAATGTTGCTTAATTTTCCACCGAGCTTCTTGCAGGCACTCTTTTCCATTCCTAAAAAGGTACTACATCATTTATTCAGGAGCATTATGATGAGCTGAAGAGATACTGCGTCACAATGCATTTGCTCGAAAATCAAAATTAAAAAGGAGAGTCAACAATAAAACTCTTAAATTTCAATTTCGGGGAAGACTTTCGGTCCATTAATTTTGATACATAGCTTTTTACAATACCTATGAAATCATCAGTGCGAGATTTTGCCCAGTTTTCCCATTGTCATTACTCAACAGATTCTTAAAGTCATACTCATAATTTTTCGTACTTCAGTGAACAATTACATGATACACTTTTATATGTTCCAGTATGGTGGCACAATCAAGGTAGTGTCAGTTGCTCGACTACCATGGACACGGTTTGAAATTACCGAGCATATATCATCACCTGTGCAGTTCGCTTTTGAAGCACTGTCGAAAGGTACGTTGTGCATTTTGATTAATTTCTAGATATAAAGTGGTGTTGATATAATCTCGATTACTATAAATGCTGCTGCTTTCTCATTTAGTGGAAGAGGAGCAAAATATATCTGCTATATAAAAAGTTGGAAATAAGTTTGCTGCATTGAGATAAATTGGAGCAGACTTGATACGAAGAAAAGATTTGACAGTTTTTGTTTTGCATAATTGTCATTTTTCAATAACTCATTTTAGTATATTAAAATAGAAAAATTTTGGAGCTGATATGTATTCGTTGTTAAATTCTTTCATTAAAGGTGAGGTTCAGGAGGCGCTGTCCACACGGCTCAATTTTGACAACAATTTTGTTCGTTGTATGCTGGATATGGTTTATTCTGTGTGTCGTGACCTGAACCAATTGTCTTACATCGTACATATTAATTCCTTAAACTGATATTATTTGAAGTTTTTGTTGCTTTCGTAAAGCTATGAAAAAACTTCATAAGCATAGCAGAACCAGCATGATCCATTCAGCTTTATATTTACAATGTGTTATAGATTTTAATTGATTTTCGCATGTTTAGATTGAAAAACTGTGGGACACAGGAACCAATGACGAGAACTGGGCGAATAGTGCAGCATCAAATAAACTGAAAACGTGCTACACATCAGGAGGACAAAATAGAACGGATGATTTGTTCTATCGCAGTGAGAAAAAACCTGTGGTACATTTATGCCTTTATTTCATTTTGCAGCAGCAAATTTTTGTGTCATTTAAAAAATGACGAGTAATAAGCTTGTATTAGCAGCATTGCAATAACATATTGTGCTTAAAATATGATGGCATATAATGGATATTAATAATTGATTTATTGCAGGATGATGGACAAACATTTTGTCTGTCGACAAGTGCGAAATATTTACTTATTGCAGCTTATTGTGCAAGTTATAATCCTCCCAGCAGTGATCGCCGCTTTTTTACTAAGGTAAGCATGTGGCAAATTACATCTTATTTTCAGATTATGTTATGTATTGTCTTAATTTCTCTAACGTAACACAGGGATGTGTGATACATCGAAAAAAGAACGTGTAGTAACAAATATAATCGGGCTATAATGCAGCTTCGATATACAAATCTGGTGAGATTTGCTAAATTGCCGTCAACGGTATCGATTACAGTGTGGTAAGAATAATGTGATTTAAGGTGCTAAGCTTCATTTCTCAGTAAACTGTCATATATCTGACTGAAGTTTTTTTCTCTGCTTAGGAGAGAAGGCTAAATGACCAGCAAATTGGACACTAGGAAAAATGAAAATCTTTCATTTTCAATCATTCTGCTTAATGCTACGCTCATCATTCACGTCATTCAAAATATTTTCAAAAGGGCACTGAATACTAGCAAGGATTAGGTGGTAACTGGCCTATATTTTACCCAAGAGTCTGATTTTGAATTGACTGATTATAGACTGTCAAATATTAGTGGCTTGTTTTTGCTTTGTAGTTCCCGAGATATGTGTTCTCTAAATGGAGCGAACAAGATGATTAATGTTTAATCGAGCTGGTGTATATTTGTCTCTAAAAATATAGTCAAAACTCCTTGCGATGCCTCTCGTTTAAGGAATGAGAGTCATCGTTTTCCCTACCCTTCGGTAAAGTTTGTTGAGTATTTGTAAAAAAAATAAGCTGGAGTTTTCTATGAATGATTTAAACAAGAAAACAATGCAGAATCACGGGAAACAGCGGCGTCGTGCACAAATAACAAAGGGATTTCGGAACAACTTGGAATCAGCTCATGAAACTGGTCCGAAACCATTTCCTGTGCAAAGATTGCTTTTCATCTATCTTGCAATGCTTGAGAAGCATGATATGAGAAACCATTGCACTGCTGATATCCATGCACAGGTTTGTTTAATAACCATATTTTTTAAATACCATTCTTATCTAAATAATATTTGAAATAAGCCATCCATCATAAATCAGTGCAATATTTCGCATTTTAATGTTGTGTAAAATATCCATACAGTAATGTTTTTAGGTTGCGGAGCTCTGTGCGATGGGCTTTTTAAATCGGGTTTCCGCTGACGGAAATCTTGATACTCCGAAATATCGCTGCATTGCAACTTTTGAATTTTCGGAACAGTTGGCCAAGTCAGCTTTTGATTGCATTTGTAATTGTCACGAAATTTACAAATCGCTTTATTACATTTTTTCTTGAAAAGAGCATTGTATGTTACATTGAGATAATATATAACGAATAGCAAAAAAATCTATGTGTGCTCTAAACGCTATAATAAATCCAGGTATTATTTAATTTTTTTTTTAGGACAATGGGCATCGAAATCCGTAACTTCCTTATTGATTTTTCATCATAAAAATTGTGTTGTAAGTCTTGCTTTTTCTTTCCTTTTTCGTTATAATTCTATGATCACTATTTGTTTTCCTGTCGTGGAGCTTTTGCTCACTTGAATAAATATTTCAAATGTACTTTCAGGCCATACCGTATCACTAATTGAAGCTCATCCGATGATTTGATCAATTAGCTCATCACGATATTATTTCACATAGAAACAACACTTCATTTTAATTAGAATTCAAAGTAGCAAAAACAGCTTTGCATAAACAGTAAGGCTTTTATTGTTGTTATTGTCTTTCACTTTGTGTGCTCTACAGTCATTTACATTCTTTGTCTTCTGATATGAAATTAGCGATAAAAGCTGCTAGCAGTTTAAATTACACTAGACTGAAGAAAAACACTCCCATTCATCTACAGTATGCATTGCATGATATTAATGCGCCGAAGATGAGGATCAATAATAAGTCGCTAATTATCTGGGCTCCTCTATTCAGTTCGTACTAAAGTTTTCTTTTTATCTACATGAATTTATTGATCTAAAGCATGTAATCAATTGGTATTTCATAATAATTAGTTTTCAGTGGAATTAATCGTATTAGAATTTGCTTTCAGATCCTTTCCTACTGATAAGTATTGTTTTTGTTTTGAGGGTTATTGTGGTTCCGCTGGTTAGGTTTCGTTAGCGTAGCGCTCACTAATCGAAAGAAGTTTTGAATCACTAAGTAGCATGCTGATAACAGAGAATAAGGCATAAGAACAAGGAGTGGATAGGGATGGACATAATGGTGGCTGCAAAGTTGTTGAAGGCGTAGGTTACATTTAAACTTGGCTGAAATAATCGAATTGAAATCGCTAAAATATCTTCGAAGAAATAAATTTGTCAGATGGAAAGAAACTGAAGTAAACTTATGTGAATTTATTTGAATGGTACTAAGATCGGGACGTTAACATTTAATGGTATGGATTGGAACTCAATTATGTTCAGGTGTTGTCGTTTGATGTATTGATCGGATGCAGAAATTTTTGTTAATGTCTTTGACTTTTGCTATTTTATGATCCGGAATTAACAGTTTCGACTTGAAATTCCTAAATATCTTGGGAAAGAATGTTATTTGGTGAAGTTACGAGATCTTTTTCATGTTTAACATGATTTGATAAAGCGGGCAAATTTTGTTTTCGCATGTCCAATTCCTTCTTTCAATTTAGTTCGGTACTTTATTCTCATATATTCAGCTCTTTCTGCATACTATAAAATACGGTAATGGTTTTAACGTTTCTTATATTCCACGTATCACTTGACTTAAAGTCTCGGAACTTAGTTCAAAAATTATTTATTCAATCTGAAATGGTACTTTCCAATTGTCCTTCCTTTAGGGAACAAGTTTTAGACAAGGATACCATTTTCAATATTATCAACAGATAGCCACTCTCATGGCAGGAAATTGCAATTTGCAATTTTCTTCCTGGCAAATTGAAATTACTGATGAAATAGACTAGTTTTTATGGCAAACACTTAAATTTGCATTAGTGCCAGGACATCGCTGCGCTACTGGTAAAGTGCAATCTATTGTCCGATCGCTTGATTTTTTATCCATCGGCCTCTTTAACAGTGTACCGATTAGGATTTTACATTATCTGCATAAGAATTGTTAGGTTGTCGAACCGAAAATCTATAATATTAATAAAGTTTAACTAATTCGTTTGCATTTATGAGTAAATATAGTAAATATAAGTGATGATAGAAAAATGATATAAATTTTACAATTATAATATCGAAATGACGAAAATGAACTGACAGCAATGCAATCTTTGCTTTATAATTCTATTACATATACAACATTAATGTAATTTTTCGGTTAGTATTCCATAATTGTAACTTTTTGAAACTTGAAGGGAGTTAATATTTCTGAAAAATAATTGGTATAAATGTAATTCAACGAGAAGAGAAAAGAAAGTAAGAAACGGGAGGGGTATTTTATTAAATTAATCCAAAAAGAGGTGTTTTTGATCTTCCTAGATTCTTGGAAGGTATAGATTTCAAACTTGGAAGTAATTTAGGAAGATAAGACTATAGACAATCTTTTGCTATCCTTATTTTATGACATATGAACTTCAAAAACTGTATTCGATTAGTGGAAAGGAATGAAATTGTTTGAACATATAAAGCATCTATTAATAACAACAATAGACTGTCATATCAACATCCATCATAATTGGATAATTAGATGGAAGAAGCGTTTACCTATAATACATGCTATGAAATTTCATAAATTTCTCAAAATTAGTTCGTTCCAAAGGTTGGGCATCAATTTACCATATAATTTTGATTTTCTGGCTTTAATATTATATTTCTTTCCATTCCGATCACTTATTTTCATTCATTGCTCTCACAGTTGTTATTTGAAATTCTTTATTTGACTTTTGTGATATTAAATAGCACGGTGAATGATAGCTTTCTTAATGAACAAAATTCTTGTTCTAAACAATTTGTTCGAGATGAATTTTATTTTCCTTAACAAATTACATCTTCACAAATTAATTGGAAGTTTGGCAAGCTCATGTTTTGCAGAATGCATGAATACTTTTGGTTGCTTTCAATTCTCATAGGATTTTTTATTATTTCATTCTTGTAGTAAAATGCTTATAGCTTGCATTATGCTACAAATCATGGTGATCCTAAAAAATATGATGCATTAGCTAGTTGATTTTTTATTTCTTGTTGCAGCCTATAATTTTATATCCAGGAATGAAATAGCTGTTAAGAGTAGAAAAGCTAGTTTTTTTTTTGCTTTTTATGTTAAAAAATATTAGTGACAGATTTATTTCTATCATTGAAAAATTTTATTACAAATAAAAAAATTCTCTTGATGATCTTAAGCTATGAGGATGATTTGAGCTGTTTGAAGATATTATCTGTCTCGTTCATTAAGATAACAATCGTATTTATGGCTAAAATGATGAAATCAATGATCGAAAATGAAAGATACTAATAAACTTCTGCTGTTGCAGCAGAAATAATTTCAGAATTTCTCTTAAGATTTAAAAGTTGTTAAAGCGCTTAACTTCTGATGCAGTCATATTAGAAAAGTGTCAATTTAATTTATAATGTTACGCATCGATAGACGTTGTTATGGCCTCATAAATATGGTTGTACTAATTTGAATTAAGCTCAATCGAACCATATTTAATTCAATTAGGCTTAGGTAGATTGCATTAGTTACATTGCCATAGCGGAATCTGAAATTTAAATAGACATTTGTATTGAATATGCAAAAAAATTAAAGAAGTGAAATTTAAGGATGAACAACACCAAAAAAGGTGATATTGGTTTAAGCCATATGTTAGTTTATGATTTTTATTGCTGCACTATTGTTATCTTTATTTGCTCCATCCAGTTAACAACAGTTCCGCCCTCCATTGCTGTTACAGTATCCTTTGATAAATCAGCATGATTGACATGATTTAATTCAAGCGTAAGTTAATATTTCTTATGTAATATATCGTCATAATAATATTGCATTTCTTTTAAAGCTTCTCTAGCTATTTGACTTTTAAAAGTTATTAAAACCCATTCAATGAATGTAACATTGCCAGCAATAATCTTTATTGTTCACTTGTTATGAAGCAGATATGAATAACTATCTTCAACGTCCATATTAATGACCATAATTATAAGGGATCTAAGAAATTTCTAACTTTAGTGATAGTAGAAGTTCTAAATCTTTTGTATTTATTATCTGTCATTTTATCATCGGAAATTACTGATTCAATGAGATTATTCTCGACAAATTCATAAGGCTCGAAATGTAAAAAGCACGCTGAAATAATTATTTTGCAAAGGATCATTTGCTGAGAAGTTCATTTTATTCGTTTTCATTTGTAGTAATCTTTGCTACAGTAAACCTTTTCCATCCAAAATTCCTGAGTCATTTTCGATTGTAACTGAAAAAGTTTGAATCTTTCCTAATTAATTACAGTCTTGCATAGACTTATTCCCAAGATAATTTGCACTGTTAGTGCAAACAGACGCAGCGGTAGTTATATTAAACAGCCATCACGACTATTCAATATGCCTTTCGATAGCAAAGACTACCAGAAAAGGATTGAAAGAGCACTTTACTGAGCTATGATACTGCTAATTTGAACAGCTGGATAACTTTGTGAGAAGATTTAGTTATGCGTGAGTTGATTAGTTATATAAAGTTAAAATGTTGGAATATTATGAAGGTAGAAGGATTATTACTTTAAGAGTCATTCAATCCTTCTTCCACTCTGATCACTACTTTGGAATAGCTTAGGTGAGGAGCTTTTACGCTCTTTTAACTTTCATTTGGAATATTTTTGCAAACATTATCTACTCGAAATATAGTAGTCCATCCAAAGCTTAAATAAGTGATTTACTGTCTTGAATATTCCATTGAGATTCAAAAATCATTCGAGTAGTCAGTTTGGAAGGAAATAAATTCCATCTGTTGTTCATAGTGTGATTCAAATTAGAATCGCAAAACAAATTAGAATCGTTTGTTTGTTTTGATGAATGAATAATCATTGAGTTATTCAGATTTCTTTAAAATTTCCAAAAAATAAAACAATTGATGGAAACGCTTACTATAATTTTTATGGAAACGAACCTGATTATGTCAGGTAAGACAATAGGAAATGCTGGTTGGTCCTTTCTTTCTTATTAACATACGTATAACTTTTTTTGCAAAAATTCTTTTCTGAATGATTTTTAGGCAATGTCTAAATAAAAAGTTTATTTATAATCAAAAATGAATGAAACTTTAGTAAGATAGGTAATGTTAAAGAAAAATTGTTGAAAATAATTGTTTTGAAATATTTCTTTCCTTAATTATTAAAATGTTATTAGCGGTTTGTAACCGTAAAGTTTTAGCAATGCAAAAGGAAACTTTCTGAAAAAGAAATATTTCAGAACATTTATCTTCAATAGGTTTGTCTTCTCAAATATATTTTTACGAAAAGATTTTAAGGGAAGGACAAAATCGGATGAGCCAAATTATGGAAACAATGAGAAATCAGTTGTGATCCAATGCTAAGAAGGATCTTCTCTAATATACTTCAAATTCAGTCTAATTACAATGTACGATTCCTTATTATCAGTTAGATCACTGATTTCTCACTGCTACCCGTGATTCAGCTCATTCATTTTGTTCTTTCCTTAATTACAATATATGAGTGTATGAGCATCACCTTGCAAAAATTCCAAAACCAAGAAGGTAGTATGAACTAAGAAGAGCTAAGCACTTCGGTTCTGTTTCTTTAGCATGCAGATGTTCTCCAAAATGATAACAAGATAATTGAATTCATCTGCTTCATCGAAATTGAATTGAAGTTTCGGCTCTTAACAAAAGATAGCTTTTAAGTAAATGACTCAATGGGAAAATTTACAATTATTGATCGAATTTTTTCAATTTCATTTATCAACTAAATAATCATTGTGGTGCAGCAATGAAGAAATTAAGATTTATTTGGTAAATCGGAAATTCAGCTCCTTCAATTATATTATTTTTTTCTTACCTCACCTGCCAATTATTTTGAATTCCTTCAATGAGAAAATTTGAAAATGCCGCAAGTCTAACATTCGAAAAAGCTTTGTGAACGAAAAAGTATCATGAGAAATCATACAAATTATCGTTAAATGTTTGTAAGTTGACAATAAAAACTTGAATATTTGATGTTTAATTCATTTCAATTACTGCTTTCCTCTACTTCTGAAATGAAATAATTATTTTCAATATTATTTATACGATACGATAGAATTATCATCCACAGATGTGACGATCTTAACATTGTGTAAATATTTCCTATAATATTTCCCTTGCGACCTGCATTTCTTCAATTAAATGTTGAATTGTTTCGGTTTAAGTTGCAATCTGCATAGAGTGAAGAAATAGCGAACAAAGGTAATTGGAACTTTGTTATCGTAAATAGAGCCTCGGAGATAATTGTTTCGTCTATATTTGTGGAACAGTTATTTATAGGAATTTGATTTGAAGACAAACTCGATTTCATGATAGTCTAAGAAAATAAATTTAATTCCAAGCGCAATATTTCAAGAAATGGTATGTACGAGGGTTTATTTGACAATTTTCTGCTCGTTTTTATGCACTTTTTTATCCTACTATTTATTTCTTTATTATTCTTTGGTTTGCACTAATGAGGTCTGTAGTTATTTATCAAATTAATTACTACCCACTAAAACAAGTGGTAGACTACTCTTCTAAAGATCCAAAAAGTTAAAAAGAACTCTGCAACCAGTTGAATGACAACTTCAAACATTTTTGAGTACAGCAATCAGCTGAATGATAACTTCAAATATTTCAACCAGTTGAATGATAACTTCAAACATTTCTGAGTACAGCGTATCTGAAGTTAATGATAATTTTGATGGCATAAAACTATGTTTCACTAATATATGCTTGCCAAATAAAAAAATTACGGTAGAGGGTTATAATATGAAATTCTGAATTCGTTTTGTTTAAAGAAAGTTTTTATTTTGATTTGTTTAACATTTACAATATATTTTCTAAGCAATTTTAAATAATCGCTAGACTTATTTTGAATTAAACTAGAAGTACATTTCGGATATATAATAAATCATTCTAGGCATTCTTCTTAATTTTACGTTTTCAGAAAAAAAATATCCGATTATTGCATATACGTTCGGTTGCTTCCGGAAAATTATTCATTCTATAACTACTCATTTTAGGTTATCAATATGTCAAGAGAAGCAGTATCGTATCATTTTACAATATGCTTCGCTTTGCTAATCTTTTTGCAGTCTGCCATCGCTATTCCAATGTTCTATTCCAGGAAATTGGCACTTCAACGTAAGCTTTATCCTTTTGAGACAAAATATGAGAGTCGTCATAAAATTGAATCAGTTAAAACGTTTTGAAAATCATTTCGGCAAATATCGATTTTATTCAGTCATACTTGTTTACTTTCTATCCTACATCTTTTTAAATACTACCGAATCTACCAAGCAAAAGAATAATTTCATTGCTTCCTGTAAATTTCGGTTCCTCAAAGACATTTTTATAAAATAGCTCAAACCAAATAGATTGATTGGATTGCTAGCAAGTAATTATTGAATTCAACTTTTATCTGAATTCAATAGTTTGATTTGATATTTTAAAACGACATTAACCTCATTCTTCTACTAACATTTGTTCTGATCCATTTTAAAACAATTGCGATACTGTGGAAGAAGAAGAGGAATTAAGAAATTTTTCATTTATAATTCAATTAAATTTGTATGTAATCTTTTTTGGCATGATTTTTATTAATTCAATAATATTTCAGCAGAAGAATTTTTGTTAACTTATATACCATCAGAATTCCAAAGTGAGTAATTACAAAAATTTCTTTTTGAAAAATTTTTTCTAAGCCAAGTTAAATTTAAAAAAAATCAAAGTTCCTTAAAAAACTTTCAAATGAAATAATGAGCTATTGAGTGATCTGTAAAATCGTTTAAAAATTAATGTAATGAGAAATTTTATAGTATGAGATAGCAGTTTAAATCAAAATAGGTGGAAAATATCCAAGCGGAAAATAGAACTGGTACTGATCAAGTTCAAGGAAAAATATACGTGGGATGTATGAATAAAGTTAGATGACCGGAATAATCTCAATTAAATTTGTAGGGAGTTTGTCTGGTTCATTGGAAGATATTCATAGTGATCACATGCAATATTTACCATTCCGACGACTTCATCGGAATATCGGTGAAGGAGATGAAGCACGCTACCAGATCCGTCATGTTGGTGATTTGCCAATGTTTCGATTTGGATAGCTTGGTCCTATTTCTCGCTTTTCTATTCCTATGTCGTAACTGATGACACATTAAATTTGGTTATAATGAAAACTGTTGAATTTTGAATGCTTAAATACCAGTCACTGCTCTACAGTTTCTGTTTTTCAGAAATCTACTGACCATGTATATAAAACACTGACTACGTATATCAGTTGGCCATTAATCTTATTTGATGATTACTCGAAAACTTGAATCCTTCGTGAATTATATTTATATTTCCAAATATTAATTTGAACTTAACTAACAACGATCCATATAGGATGAAGCCATAAATTTTATACAGGTATATAATAAAAAACCACTATAGGAAACATTAAATTCCTGTTCTTTTTGCTTTCCGGAAATGATTCTCATTTCTGAAGATCAAAACCAGTAAACATTAACAAATTTTATTTACAAGATCTTATCCATAAGTAGGAAAAATGTTAAATAATCAGCGAATATGAATGTTATTTATTTCATTACATTCTCGAATTAAGAAGTATATGAAGGAAAGAATTCATATACGAATAGTTGAAGTTGTTGTTTATTGGTTTCTTTGACAATTCGCTGAAATGCATTACCGCTTTCCAAATACCGCTCCATAAAATAGCACAACTAATTGGTAGAATTAAAATGGTTGCAAATACTATAGTGCCATTCCATTATGGAAAATTCTGTCTTGTAATAGTGTATACCATTCTGCAATAACGATTTACAGTCTCGTTCAATCTATCAATTATTACAGTATACTGCATGGAAAAATAAATATACAATACATAAAAACTCCCCTATAAAAAATTTCAAGATCTTAAAGGGAATTGAAATTTCGATAGCATAGCAATCAGTGCGGTCAATTCCATTTTGCTAACCACACAACTTCGTTTAGACAATTAATTTCATCGTAGTAGAAGCGCTCAAAAATGACAAGTAGACAATGGCTAATTGGCTCGATAACCATATCATAAGTGGTTAACGCCGCTTGCAAACTTTATTTTGTGCTCGGAAATATGAGCATAAAATGTGAAGAGCTTTATTAGTCTGAATTGACGCTCAAGTCTATACAGATATCATTCCTGTATCATTCATCATATCACCGATTTATCAAAAAATATATTGATAATAGCACCGATAAACTACATGCATTGATCTTAGCAAAGTGCTCGAAACGAAAGTAAGAGCTAGAAGGTAGAGCAAACATTAATCTACTCATTTTTAAAAACTTCATAAGTGCATTTCAACAAATATGATCATTGTTTTTCCTTTTGAGGCATATTAAAGTTAAGGCTCTTTCAATAACTTTAAAATTGGAATTCAATGAGAAATCAATCAAGTATGCAATAGCTAAATTGCATTTGGATGTCCGATCATTATTTCTATTTGTCTGTGAGCATAAAATACAAAAACGGTGTCATTAATTCACTCCCTTTAAACTTCGATATGATTGATAGACAGTTCCATTAGGGACAACTGTCCGATGGATTGTCACACTTGAACCCAATTCGCCCATTGTCTATTTTCACCTCAAGCTACCCGTTTTCAAATGCCGATAAATTAATGGTGAAATTTCGAAATTAATTTATTCTTTTCTTCAACCTATTCATTCACAATGCTATGTATGCATTGTGGTTAGCAATAATGAGTTCCAACTTAAATTGTGCTTTTCGTTATTTATGATTTTTTATTTTATTTATATTTCAACAAAAAATCTACTACGATGAAGAAGTTGACACTCCATTTAGATTTAATATAATAAACTAATGACACAATTTTATAGAATTTCCACTTTTTTATTAATATAGGGAAACAATATCTTTTTTGGAACATACTATTGTGCGCCACCCATTCCAATTCGGATCATTTTATCGGAAAAAATAGATACTATCAGTTCTGACGGGTACTATAAAGATTTATCAGATTTTAATCAATCAAATTTTGTTCACTTCTATCTACTTCGTCTGATACAATATCCAAAGCTACGCTGACTGACTATACAAAGCATATACTTTAAGTATAGATAATACTTAATTTTTTCGTAGCCATTAATAACAATTTAAAGAGAAGAGATTAACAAATTTTACATAAGTATTTGTTTGAATAACTTAAATCATTATCCATATGGTATCGTTTATTATTTTTAATTCAAATAGTACTATGATATGAAGAGGTCTTCTTTATCGTAATAAAAATGACCGTCAGCAGATAATTTGATCTTAACCAATTTCTTGTTGAAATATAAATAAATAAATGGTCATAAATAATGGACAAGCACAATTTAAGTTGAAACTCATTATAAAAGATTAATTTCATTTCAAATTTGAGAACAAATGGGAAATGAAATTAAGGCACAATCTTAGGTTTTCTTCCTTCACCTAATATTTTTTTGATCTCAAAAGATTCAAAAACATTTTTTCTGATTCTGAGAAAGGCAATATGAAATCCTTTTTGTTTCATTTATAAGAACTTTTCTGGAATCATTGATATCTCAAATCTTTGAAAGAATCAAATTCCGGGACTTTTGAATATTTTTGAGATATCGTGTAAAATCGAAAATAATTATTTTTATTTCATAAAAAATAAATGTTGAAAATTTTCATATTAAAAAAATGAACTTTTTATTACTGAAATCTTTCATTCCTTCATTAAAAAGTTCCTCAAAAAAAGGTTTTTTTTACTAAAGGAGTCGTGAATTAATGCTAAACTATAAACAATTGATTATATTTCTAAAATGTGATTTTTAGAATGCTAATAATCGACCATTCGAGCAATTGTGCCGTTTTTAATCCAACATAAATCAGACTATTTAAGAAATTAATTGATAGTGTTATAGCCTATAAACGTATAACTTTTTCAGTCGAAAATTTGCCCATTGCTATATTTTTTACTTTTGTTATAGACATTGTAAATACAAATATCCTAAACCAAAATATTCATTTCACAAAAATTTAAACAACTTAAAAATTGTATTAGTGGAACTAATAAAGTGATTGTGCTCTTTTAAAATGAGAGAGGCAATGGAAATGATAGGGCTTCCATTTATTTTATTTTATATTACTCGGATTTAAATAATCCAACTAAAATTTAGTTTACATGTTGTGCAGAAGATCCATTTTCAATTTGCCGATTCCTTTTGTTAACATAATTTATTTGCTTATTAATTAAATTTGTTTACAATTTTTAAAAATAGTATTATATAACAAACATACAACATTATTCTAAAACATCGTAATAAAAATGATCGAAAGCTTTCAATCTTTTGTGTATGAAATTTTAAGTTTTTATTGAATTATAGAAATTTTCATTCATTTTCGCCGTCGATACTTCGGCTAACGCTTAATGTCCACTGTAATTTTCCATTTTTTTTTACTTTTTTATCTACCTTTTTTCACTTTTTTAAAATTTCTTAGCTAAGCTTTCATATCCATCTATGTTACTCTCAAAATCTTACGGTTATCTTCCGTGATATGATAGTGATACGTGATATGCTACGTCGAATGGCGTTGAAAGCAAAATATAATGCTTTCAATGCGCATTTTGTATCACCAAAGTAAGAGTTTACTGAAAATTGGATTTGCTGATATATTAGGAACATAAGTAATCAATAGATTATACTTTTATTAGCAATATAAGTAATCTATAGATTATGCAGTCATAATAGTGCATCAGAGAGACCATTTACTGACTGATAACTATTCTTAGTAATGAAATTTGTTGAGTGTTTGAGTGATAGTTGATAACGTTATCGAATATTAATTAAGATATCAAAAAATTTTATCGATGCAAAATGAAAATTTGCTTAGCTATCAATGAATGCATTGCAAACAGAATTCTTTTCTTTTAGAATTTAAAGGCAAAGTAACGGACTGACAACAACCTTCAAACAAAAGGCGATTCTCATAAAATATTTACGGTTCTAAGAACCAGAACCGTTTCCCAGCTCTTATGGTTATGCTCTAACATATCTTCTGAGAAAAGCGACAATTAATGATCGTTATGTTCATTATTTAATTAGCTCTGTCTAATATACATCCATTTGTTAAAGCTCTTTGCCAGCCCATTATTCCTTTGATGTTTTTAATTACCATTTTGTTTCATTTTAATCCATTCCGACTAAAGCATTAAATAATTCACACCAAAAATTCTTTTTTAGCTTAAGTGAAATATCCTCTTATGATCGTTAATATTAATTTTCGGAAAAAAATTTCACCATTTGGACATCATTTCTAAATTACAATTATAATAATCAACATTATAGTAGTTATGTAAGTTGTATTTTTCAATGCTGTTAGGAGTTGTTTTTAAACTTAAGGTCTTTTTTAAAAGACCTAGATTTTGTTGTCTAATTTCGGTATCCTACACAACAACACAAAGATCAGTAAAGCATTCTCTTTGTACATGTACGAAATGATCTCACTGTACTTATATTATTGCGTACTGCTTATTTATATCTTACCTTGAAATCCACTATAATCTGCTTTATCAGCAAATTTCATTGTCAGCGCCTTTCACTCACAAACAATGACATCATTATCATTATTAGTGAGAAAGAGCAATCCGATTTAACTAACACTTTTAGTTAAGAATAGTAGTGAAGCAGAAATGAAAACAAAGATCGGTAGCTAAAAAATACAAAATTCCGAATATGCTAATATCGAAATTAAGTACTAAAGTAACATAAATACAAAACACGGATTTTTCGATCCTTATCACATTTTTTCATTTTAAATTATTTCAGTTCACATATAATTTCAGATTTGCACAATTTATCTAATATTGTGGTATCGTTGATTTGATTTGATTTCATATCACAGTTTTTTAATTACAATACTTTTTCCCAACATACTCTATTCAATGACAGATATGGTCATTTAATGCTTTTTGGATGACACACAGACTAAATGTTTGTATCATCCTGTGCATCGTTCGATATAACTAACATCTTCTCTCTTCTTCCCTTTAATAAATGCAACAAAATACCAGTTTTAATGATGCAGACACATTTTACAGGTAGGTTACTACCTATAGAATATGTCCGCATCATTAAATCATTCAATTTTTTCTTTTGATTTATCTTCTCTTACAGCAAAAGTATTCGATAACGAAAAGATCGTTTGTTGGTGGGCAGCTGCAAAAAAATTATTTGCTGTCCTTTTAGCACTTGATTTTCTCTTCAAGGTGTCTTGCGCTTTGTTACCGTTCATCCCTTTAAAAAAATCTTTCTTATTTTCTGTTAGCCTCATTCGCTTTCTCTTCCCGTTTTACAATAGCCTCAAAATGACCAATTAACAAAAGAAATCACTCAATTTTCGTATTAAACAAATTTGAATAACTTCAACTGGAAGCATCTCTGAATTAAAAATATATGGGGAAACAGGAGACCAAAAGTATCTTCGTAATTTGACATAATCGATATAATTGACTCCTTCGCTTTATCTGTGATCTATTCAGTAGTAATTGAAAATATTGCAAGCATGAACAAGTTAAAAAAGAATGAGGAGTTAGCACCACTTGGCTTTTTCTGCATGCCATTTTCATTAAGTTACTGATCAATATCTTTAATCCGATTCTATGATATTTGTAAAGACACTTTTTAATGGCTGATAATGGAACAAAATATTATATCTGAAAATGAAACGAATTATGTGAGTTTATCATTTAGATGGAAATGACGCAATTTAAATATTTAAAATACATTGAATATGTAAAAATACACAGCACATTTACATATGTCACATTTGCACCATTAAATTAATGAATTATTGGATGAGTAGATATCAGTTATTTAATTATGGAACTAAATGAGCAAATTTGACACATATTCTTAAATGTTGCTTATCATTATAGTTAATCGTATCATTATCAGTGTCACTTAGATAGAAGGCTGAAATGGTGGTTGTTCAAATATATAGTGATACAGTTATAGTTCTAGCTCTCTTTTATAAAAGGAAATCTTTTTGCAAAATTTATTTCTCAATAATTCCTTAATCGAGGATTTAATATGAAAATTATTTTTAAATTCCCATCTCATCTCACTTACTTCATTTCATTTCTCTCTTAAAAAAGTGCTGGATTAATCGTTAAATCGTGAGATTTTTCCTTTCAGATTTTTCCCCTACTTCTCTTTTGTTCAGCATTTTGCATGCTTCCGATATCAATTCTTTTTCCTTTTTTCCTTATATATAATTCCAAAATACCTCAAAATTTCATTTGTTGCTTTGAAACCATTTTCAATAAGTTATCAGTAAACTGCTAACATCCTTATCTTCTTTGTTGAAATTTTTAATCAAAAAAAATAAAAAACCTTTAAGATATCAATTTTAAGATTATATGAGTGAAAGCAATCTGGCAGTGCCAGGATGACTAAAACTATCAATGCCAGCAAAGATGAATTCTCTGCTAAAAATGCTGGAAATAATTCCATTTGTTGTGAAATTTGCTTTGAACCATTTCACATCATAAAACGATTGCCAAAGTTGTTACCTTGTGAGCATAACTTTTGCGAGCAATGTATTTTATCACTTTGCTACCACCAGCAGGTAATCTTTTGATTATATTTACTTATTTGAAATCTTTGGTGTAAAGAGATTATGGGACAGTTATATAATTGGCAACATAACTCTCAGAATATGTGGTGTGAAATTTCAGTATTATTTATTGGATTCAATTAATTGCCCTATGTGTTGTGCTGAATTCAGTACCTCAACAGCTCTTGCTGCTACCACTAATTATAGTTTATGCGGTATGTTATCTATTAAAAATTTAATTACTATTTAATCCCCTTTTCGTAAATTTTATTATTGTGAGTTGTTAAACTATCTGAATAAAATTCACGTGTCGCAATATCAGTAAATATAAATCACTTTGTATCTATTACAGCATTACTTCTCTTTTGTTCAGCATTTTGCATGCTTCCGATATCAATTCTTATCACATACCAAGTTCATTTACTATTACTTCATAATTCATATCTCTAATTTTAACTTTATAAGATATTTCCTCCAAAACAATTTTGAATTCGTTATAATTCAGAATTACTGGAGGCAGTACAACTGCAACAAATGGGAACCACCAATGATAGCAATATAACAGTTATTCATGTCCCAGACAATAATTGTAACACACGAAAAAGATTAGTCGGACTACACTCCTGGCATCGAAATTCAAGACCATCGAATTCTAAAAGGTGCCAACTGATGCAATGTACTGATTGTTGCCGGAAAATGAATGAGAAGAAGTGTCGGAAAGAAGCTCGATTTTGCGCAGGCTGTTTTAGCACTAAAAAAGATAACGATGATTGCCTGGTAAGTTATCATCAATTTTAGAATTAATTACATTTCTCTCCGTTTCTGTTATATTTGATTACAAGTTGTGGGTTACTGTATGATTATACTGCAACTTCTACTCTTGCACTTTCGACAGTTGAAGCATACCACAAAGCACTAAATACCTTTCTCTTGCCTTATCACAGATGCCTTTTCTTCCAAATATCCACTGAGATATCTCTCCCCAACAGTTGTACATTTATTTTACATTACTTATGAAATGCTTGCAGCGTGTAATATGTCTGGAATGCTGTGTAAATCGACACAATGGTCACAAATTGGTAACTTTGAGTGAGCTCGAAAATGAACATCAAAAATTAATTAAAGATTTGCATAACTTACAACAAAGCATTCAGGTTTAATCATTCTCAAAATCAATTTTAACGATTTTAACTGAATAAACTAAAATTAGAAAAAACTGAAATTTGATGGCTCATAATAATAACTTGCAATTTACCGTAAATATTATATGATAATCATAAAAAATTTTGAATTTTAGAAAACAAACAAATGGATAGAAGCCAGTTTAAAAGAGCTCAGTGAAGATTCTATGATGCCTGCAACAGATTGTGTTGCATTGTGCAAGGCGAAAAAAGTACATTTTTAGGATGATTGATGGATAATTTCTCTTATCAAATTTATCGTTTGCTATTCATGCAATTTTTCACCTTGCATTTAATTTGAATTTAAAGATTTCCAAAGAGGAAAAGAGATTATTATTATATTTTCTCAATTGGCGTAAGTGAACTCTTATTAAATATTTTGTCGGAATCAGTTATATGTTTTTAAATTTTATTATGACAAATTCTTATTCCAGCATTTTTAACTTCTTCACATAATATGTTTAACCAGAATTTGCAGAATCTTCGGGATGAATGTGAAGCTGATATGAGGTTTGCCCTATCAGTTTTGGAAAACGATGGTACAACTCTTTTACCGCCTACAGCTCTCCAAAGGATGAGACAACACCAGTATCATAACAGCGCCAGATTGCATAAATTGTTACATTTTATCGAAGTTTGTATTGAAATATTTGTTCAGGCAGAAGAAGTGTAAATTGAATTCAACGGTGATCGTTGTATATTTAAATAATTTGTTTTTCGGTTAAATCTCTCTAATAATTCGTTCAAAAAATGTAATTACATTTAGGGAAAAGATTTTTAGAAATGTAATCAATCATCGATTAAAGAAAGCCATAATCGAAGTATTAAAATGGACAATTCAAGTGAGTTTTTTAATAGTAACATTTTTCATTTTTATACTAACTATACACAGTTGATGTTTAATTCATTCTTAAATTTGATGAATTGAATTTAATTCTATGATGATGACAGCAGAAAAGCTTACCTATTTTAATTTCCAAAAAAAAAGAAATAGCGCTGGTTTGTAACAGATTGCTGAATAAGTTTGTATTTATATGGGAGAAACTAAGTTAATAATTGTTTATTCAAACCTATTATGCTGCCTCAAACATCCTAAAATTAAATTAGCGATGTCTTATAAATCTTTATTTGAAATAGACATGAAGAGTTAACAAATCTCAAATAAATCTCAAGTTGCTATAGAGAGAGCACTCTTGCATGAAGTCACTCACGGAAATAAGAAAGTTGATGAGGATATCTGCGAAATATCGATTCTGAAAATGAACGATTAGCCAATAAACATAGCAAATATTGCCGACTTTTCAGTATCTCACTCGTCACTGTTTTCCCTGAATCGTCAAACGCGCATCACTCTCTGCAATAGCGCTTCCGACGATCGATCAGCGGCAGAAGCAGTTGCAGCGTTACTAAATGTTTGTAGATCACGCGATGAAAATGGAAACCGAATGATGGTAGTGGAAGAAGCCATAAAAGTAATGAGTAGGAAAAACTCAAAAAAAGCGGTACGACGGGCAGCTCTGTTGTTTTGCGCGAAACAGTTGCGCGAATTCATCGATGAGTACTGTGTTTGATTTTTTTAGACCACATTCTGATGATTAAGTAACAAGCGAGTTACTGAATAATTTATTCAGTCATAATCAATAAAGTGATAATAAAAGTATCGAATCTGTTTTCTCTCTACATTATGAAATTCAAGGAAGTTCAGAGCCAATTGAAAAATTCTACTATCATTATTAATTAATCTTACAGAAACATCAGTAGACAATCAATACTTCTTTATATCGACGCATATTTGCACATATTTTATCAGTTGAATTTTCTGGTAACACAATTTTCGCCTGATGAAGATGGTCAAAACGTCGCAGTAGTAACACGATGGGACATTTGGAAACTGATACAAGTGGTATACAGTGATCTGATGAGATGTGCTGCTAAGGTAAGATATGTATCAGTTACCTAAATAACTTTATTAGTGCTAGATAGAAAGATATAGAATTATCCGGAACCCAATTTCAAGATTCATTCAATTTTTTATCGAAGAAATTCAACTGAAAAACTCTTCCCAGCATTACCTGACTATATCATTTGTTATTACTAGTGAAGGTAGAAAGCGTTATTTGTATGATTCATGATATGTTTTGGACTGGAATTTCTGGAAGCCTACTCTCAGGTCATAAACCTAATATTTAGAATTAGTAAGAAAATATGAAGAACAAGAAGAATCACGACAAAAATAAAATGGGAGTTAATCGTTAATGAGGAGTAGTATGATATGCTTTAAGCAAAAATATTTTAGAATAGCTGAAAGTACATTTTGAATATTTAATTTTATTCGATAAATAGTGATAGTGTAAGATGAAGAAATTTGCAGCATTGGGAGAGCGAAGAAGGTGAACGAATAGACTTAGTAGATGACTTGGCGTTTCTCTGTTCCCTGTACTCAGATGTAAGTGATGAAGCAACAATTACAATCTGCATGATTGAAGCTGCACGTGCTCGAGCTGCAACTGCAGCACTTCTCTCCGCTACCACTGCTAATGACAACCGCGAAAAATTGAATGGAATTGAGGATGATGGACGACTTACAATGAATATTAAACTTAATGTGGATTCATCCGTTATTTACTAGTTTCCTTTTATAATCTATATTTTTTAATTTTTGAGTTCCAAATAGTTTTCAAAATTAAGCTGTAATCCAATGATTAAATTGAAACTTTTTGCTATTGTTAGTATTTCCCAGCTATTTCAGCAATTTCTCCTCGATCACAAATTAAGCGCTTTCATCTATTTTATAATACACCACGCAGACTCTGAAAACATTTCAATTATCGAACTCTTTCCTTCGTACTGATTTCTTTTATCTTTGGACTTTCAGCTAATCGATAAGCATCTGCTGGAATGTCGTCGAGTACAAAAGCTTCAACGCTTACGCGCGGCTACTGTTACAAAACCGCGTGTTCGTCAACAATCGATGAAACAATTATGGAAACTTTTTGTTGCCTGTTTCAACAAGTCTTCGAAACATTGATGAAAACATCTGTGCTTTCTCATTGCTTTGTATAAATATTTTATCATGAAAAGAAAAATTGCAAAGGAGTAGAAAGTGTTCAAATGCAATTTTATCATTTTTGCGCACAAAACCATTTATCACAACAACGTAGCAAGCAATTTGTAACACAAATGAAATATCAATACATCACGACTGTCCACAAATTCAATATTAGCCTTCTAAAGATGGCGAGTATGTCTATCTTCAGTTCAGAAAAGCTTCAAATTGTTCAAAGTTACTTTATCTGCTGCTATTCAGTATTTTCAGTTTTTTCATAAAATTTGAGGTTCACCTTTTGATAAACTCCATCCAACCACTGCTGCTACGATTCATGATTGAAAGTTAACCTCAAATTTTATGGAAAAACTGAAAATACTGAGTAAATAGAATAGTTAAAATTAGGAGCGCAAAAGAATGCAAAGAAGTCGTATATTCAAAAAATTTTTTGCTGAAAAAATTGCAAAGTTCGTAAAGTATGGTCATGCCGTTACATCATTAAAAGATTAATACCGACCTATGCGTGAATAAATTTGCATAAACGGAAAAAAGGAAATTTTAAAGAATAAGTTTGGTTCAGTTCTTCATTGTACACGGTTGTCAATTGGTGCATTGTTACTTTAAATTGGACATTTTCCCACGCAGTGACTGTTGCGTATTTAATTTTAGTAAGAATTTTCACAGTAAAGTATGAAAATTACTTTCATATTTTGAAAATAATTTTCATAATTCTAAAATTTTCTAAGGGTGATAGTAATAATAATAACAGTAATAATTATAGCAAGTGGTAAAGGAAAGAAGAGTGACTAAGCAGGTAAATATTTTTTTAATTAAGACTAATGGTAACTTCTCAAAAATTAATATCTTAAGGCTGAATCTCAAAGATTTTATCCATTTGTGTAGTACCCGTCATTTTACAAAAATTTCCTTATTTGAATTCCTTTATTCTAAAAATAAATTTATTTTAAATTTCAATTCAAATCTTTGAGCCATAAATAGCAAAAAACTCGTCATAATATTTGATAAATTAAGAAAAAATTTCAAGACAGAAGTGATAATGCCAGCTGCCATCAATGGTTTTTGTTTGTTTGCACAAGAATTACGAACGAAAATAACGGGAAATAGGCATTGCTATCAGGATGATATAATTTCACCTTATTTAATCCGTATTGTAACACCACTATGGGAACGCCTTACAAGTGAGGAGAAAAAAGTTAGTATCTATGCCTTCATGAGTTAAGAGACTTTCCAACTTTCCTAGTTAAATTGAAGCATATCAAAAAATCAGATGCTTTTCTCTTACGAAAATCTTAACAACTCATACAACCTGCTCAGAATAATAGATGAAGGTTGAAATTTAAGAGATGCAGCTTTTTAATTCTAGAATGATGAATCCCTTATCATCTGTCAGATATCATAACCTCTCTTCTATCATCTACAGCATATGCAAAGATTGTATTTATCGCATATATAATAAGCAATTCCTAAATTTGCTAACATGATAAGTAGCACGAAGACATGTAAATGTTAAATGTACAGCTCAATAATTTTTAATAGGTCTGGAAAGATCGAGCAAAAATGAAACGTCATATTGAGGAATATTTCGCTTTGTTGCAACAGCCAAGAATGATGGTGAAACGAAAGAAATGCGAAAATGGGGCAATGGAGTAAATTTTACATATTTTCCAGCCATCTTTCCCTTAAAATTATTTGGAAACCGAATGAAAATTATCTGGAAAATAGTGAAAAGAGAAAATGATTGAGCATTTGTGGTATAAAAATTTGTATGTTTTCATATTCAACACCAATTTTAATGTTAATATTAGTCTTTGTTTCATTACTGTTAAGAGGTATAATTAAAAAAATTTCAGAGAAGAAATTAGTGAAATTGGATACAGAGCACAAAATGAGAAACTTGATGAATTTGATGAAAACGATTATCCAGAAGATTTAATGATTGGTGTGCCGTTAAACGAAAAAGACTATGATTCAGAAGGTATATCAATGCCCGATCGATTCTATATCAAGAAAAATGAAAAGAGATAAATGTGATTTGAGAAGGAAACAATAGCAATACATACTACTCAATGATTGGAACGAGTTCATTTACATACCGAAATATTTATGATTTAGAATTTGAATTTAAGAAGTTATAGAAAATGGTATCAGTCAATGGACTTACAAAGAGAAGTATGAAAAAGATAAAGAACGTGTGCTTGCATATCTGCGTACTCTTAATGGACCGGATGAAATTCGAGTACTATTTGAAGTTTAAAATCTTTTAATTTATTTTCATATATATGTCAAAGAAAAATAGCAGCACAGAAATTTGGAAAGGCTGAATGATTGATCAATCAATACAACTTTGAACTTTCTGAAATTATTTGAACATTTTGAAAACATTTCAGAGAGCTCGATTTTTGTTTATTTCGGTGCAAACATATGGTGACGTAGATGGCATATGCATTCCTGCTGAAATTGCAATTTGTGAATTCAATTTGAAGCACGGCATTATTGATAAGGTGTCATTTCTCACGCATCATTCTTTCTAATTGAAGAATACGTGATGAAAAAATGATTAAACTGTTTTAGCATAGTAGTACACACATAATGAAAATAACAAAAGAATATCAGCAACGATCAGTCAGTAATTAAGAAAATCATGGGAGTTGCAGTATTATTAACTTTTAAATCAAAATTGATCAAATTCCTGATCATGTCTCATTAATTTTCATAGACGATATTATGATACATTGTTAAGATTCTAAAAATACAACTTTCACAAACGAGGTTATAGTACACGTCAGTTATTGGACCATGGCGTTTGAACAATGAGATACAACGACGAAGAGCTGAATTTCACGCAAACGAAACGCATCAAATTCACTTAGATATGTTTGGCGGAATATTCAAAGTTCCAACTCAAAATTCGGTGCTTTTATTTGAGTTTCATTATTGTTTCTCCGAAGTATCAACAGGATGCATGGAACCGTCGTGCACTTTTTTCAATGAATCGAAATATTAAAATACATTTAATTAATGCAATAAATTTGCTATCTTCAAAAAGACCATGGAAAATAGAAAAGATAAATTGAAACTTTATACATATTATTCAATTTTGATTTTTTTATTTGAAATAGTTTGAATTATACAGATATTGAATGTGTTTATTATTCGGCCATCTTCGAATCTTTTTTCCGGAAACTGAACAATACAGCAATGCCTAAAAGTATAAATGGATTAGATTCAGAAATAATAAATAACAAGTAAAACAATTAATTGCTTAGTAGCAGTTGAAATCTATCGTAAAATATTGCAGTGCTTAAGAGAAATTCTGGGTCGTTGTGAGCCAACCATTGCACAATACCAAGGGGTTTTCGTTGGCCTATACCGTGATGGAATTGTTGAATTCGACAATGATGTGGTAAGTTGGGAATTCAAAATGCCACACTAACGTATTAGCATGCATATTTGAAGACATTTTTTCATAGGAGCAACAGACTCTGGTAACTTCTTACAATAATGGTCATGGTAACGATGTTTGCGAACGAAGGCGATCTCAAGGCGATAATGGTAACAGTGGTAGCAGTTACAGCAATCGAACATGTGAGCTATTTGAGTGACATCATGCAGTTGTATAAATTTGAATAAAAATGAAAATCACTAAGTTTTTCAGAAGTTATGGCTTATGATCACTCAAAAATCAATTTATGGTACTAATTACTGATAAAAAAACTTGATATTATCATATGACATAGTGAACAAATCATAGGACATGGTATATCTCACTTATTTTAAATTCAACAAATTATATTCTTCTTCCAGATACAACATATCACAACAAAGAAAAAGGAATAAAGTTCACCAAAGGTATGCATGGACATTTCTAAGTTTTTTATTCATCCTGATTTCGTATAACAAGAAAGATCTTTTCAATCATTCTCGAATCATTACCGCTATCTTAATCAATCGGAGACGAAGATTTTGAAAGAGCTTTATATAAACACTTATTTTTGTCTTTTAAATCAAAGCAAAATGACATATACTTTAAGAACCGGTGAGAAATTGTTATTCAAGAATAAAATAACGTGAATATTAGCTAACTGTTAATGTTCCATCAATGTTGACATCTACCGTTTAATGAGAAAAACACCTTATATGAGAAATCTAAATTCCATTTAAAATTTAAGTGTGATTTGTTTTCTGTTTTTTTTATTTATTGTACTCATATTGACCTGTGGGGTTATTCCTAAAAGGCGACAGAACTCACGATTAATGAACTGTGCTGCATTATTACGATTAACTATAACTCCTATTATAACTGTTTGGTCTTTATTTTGAATAGGAACGACTAATAGTTATTATGGGTCAAAACGTTCACAACAAACAGGACCAATTTTTGTGGCCAATAAAGAAGGACGCCGTTGGTTGATTTGTCTGAATCATGAGTACGAGAAAATACGCGCAAGCTTGGAGTATCTTAAACGAGCGCAAGGACTCTCTTACGATGGTAATAAATTATTATTCATATCTTTCCAACAGATAGCTAAAAAATAAAAGTACGCTTTTCACTCCAAACTATTCAAGCTTATAATTTTATTTTCTCTCCTATAAATTTTTATTGAAAAATGAGTTAAATAAAATTTGTTTGCTAAAGATATAAGGTTTATAATATAAAGGGATGATTGCCGTCTATTCAGCACAAAAATGGCAACATTAATTTTCTTTAGTTCCGGAAAAAATTTATTATTTGAAAAAGAATTTTGCATTAGACAAAATTTTTTATAATTCTGATTTGATTTCAAATGGTTTGCATTTTTTAAACAGCTCAAGAAATTTAGCTTTTTTAAAAGCACAAATTATGTGAAAGCAAATGTTTGTAATTAAACGCTTTCAGTGAGCAATCAAAATTTTCTAATTTCATTTTTCAAAACTATTCCATAAAGTTTATTCATTACAAATCGCAGTTCAATTCTTGAAATTTTTTTTCAGTTCAATTCTTGAAAACTTTATTGTCTTCAAAAAATTATTAAATCAAAAATATTATCAAAAAATCACATTTATTTAAGATTATATTATCAAATCACTAATACCTTCATTTATGCATTTTCCGATAAACTTTTACTATTTAAATCAACGACATTTTAAAATTTTATTGAGTACCCATTTTTAACTTATTTGTCGTACTTACAAATATTTCGGTTTTAGGATTTCCTACAACGGAAGATCGTTTTTGGTTCGCAGATGCTGTAGTTGATGCTCTCGCTGAATACGCCAATGGTACACCTAATTTGGAATACAAATTATGGATGGATATTTTTGGAAAAAGACAGCCATTTGAGGTTGCTGTAAAACTCTACGGGGCGCGAATGATATCGTATATTAGATAAGGTATTGGTTCAAACAAACCACTGCAGATAAAGCACATTAAATAAAAACAATTTAATTTAAATTTAAAATTAAAAGTCGAGCTATTAGAAGACGTTAAAATCTCTCCTTGGGATAATAAATTATACAAACAGAGGAGAAAAAAAGAATACTGAGATATTAATTTTCTTCTAGGCATGCCTAGAAGAAAGTCAATACCTTAATATCTTTGACAAATGTTTTTGCAGTTTAACACACCATGGGAACGTCGGGCCAATGTATTTTGTCGAATGCATGTTGTAACACGAAACTGTTGTTGTGCTTCCGCAACTGCCATCCGAAGTTGCTTTGCGATATTTTTTGCACTTCGTGAACTTCTTGATCTAACTTTGGATGATTAATACTATGCACAAAAATTTAAACTTTGGATGATTAGTACGATGTACAAATTCAAATCCAACATGAATTTAATTTACATATATTTAAATCGTTTAGTTAATATTGCTCTGTGGCAGAATTAAACAAAAATCTTTTGTTGTCAATGTAAATATTTAATAAAATATATGAATTTGGACTGAAATCAATTAAATTCACCTAAGTCACTAATTAATATTTTTACATTTCATCAATTATGAAAAGATGATAAGGTTAACATTACAAACCATATTAGCATAAAGTACGTAAAGATGATTTCAGCTGCAAAGTGTATAAATAATAGCAGAATTGTTAGAAGAAATGATAGTACGTCGTAAAAGTAAAAAAACAATTTATCGTGAAATGTGAATTAAAGGATAAATTCTGAATTTTATCGGTAAGCACTAGATGAATTGTTAAAAGAGTTAGCAGCGAATTGTAAAAGCAAAGTAAAGAAATCTGTTGCGAAATTTGAGTTAGTGGATGAAGTTCTGAATTCCGTAAGCGTATCTGAATTCTGTAAGTACGTTTTATATTTTATATCAGCGAGATTCAAAGAATAATTTTTCTTCATCATTCCTCTAAACAGGAATAGGTCATCATAATAAGATCAAAGGATAACTGTGATGCTACTATTCACAGGACGTTATTCAGTATAAGACATAATTAAATATGAATATATTAACCACAATGTTATGTCCAAAACAAACTGATCACAAGTACGAAATATAACAAGCAACAGTTTGGTTCACATTTCTAATATATCATTAATATTTAATTCAATTGAAATTCATATGTGCTTCATAAATTCTTTTGTTGAAGCTGCTATAAAAGTTTATAGCTGACCAAAAAACAAATAAAATTAAATATTGGATGATCGAAATAAATAAAATAATATAATTGAAAACTTTTTATGTTTGAAATGTATTCATTTTTATAATAAAAGAAAATTGAAATTTTCAACGATATTCGCTATCCAAAATTTAACAAAAGAAATTAAATATGTAATTAATATAATCCAACAGGTATTAATTTATCGAAAATCATGCTTATTGAAACAATTTAATAATTGCTTTGAAATGACAATTTCTTTTTTTGAAATACTCGTTTTTGTCAAATCATAAATGCAATAAAAATTGATCTTTAATCGTATTAACAATAATATATGAATGATAGTAAAAATGTACATTGATGGCAATGGTCCTATGAAAATTTAAATTAAACCGTATTAAATATAAAATATTTCGCAGTAATTCTTGATCTTTTTTCATCTCATATTAATAGAAATCAATGGTAAGGTTAAAGATGTGTTGTGTTATACGGTGATATTAAACATTCATTGTTCATAATTTCTTTAGTATAGCTAAGTTAGTGACGCAAATTCTATATTACCTATGAAATTCCTATTAAAATCTACCTTTATTAGATTAAACAACTTAAAATCTAGCAAATTGTTTCGAAAAAAAGAAAAAGTTTGTGAAATAATATTGTTGAAAGTAAAAAGAACCAATTTTTTGCAATTGTGAGAGAAGTAGAAAAGGAGCTTTTACAAGAGCTCAACAAACTAAATTCATTACTTTTCATTTCTTCTTCCACTATGATAAACTTAATCCTACTTTTTCGAATTGATTATATAATAGTTGTCACAAAATTTAATAAGCTAAACATTGATGTAATAATATTTGTCTTGGGACTTAAAGAAAATGTTATGATAATATTAAATATTCATTTTGTAATTTCTACAATTTGATAACATTGCTATTTTCAATATCAGCAATGTTTTATAATTGATGTTGTAATGCAATGTTGCGTTCTATCAGGTGAAATTTCATATTTTCAAATTGAAAGTTTTATCAAACTAAGGTTTCAATTATACATTTGAGCAGTTCAACTGGCAACTATATGTATTAGCATAAAGTGATGAAGTTCTCTGATAATGAAATTGAAACTTGAATATAATGTCGAAATGTTATCTACCTATTCTTTTTTTTTGTATTGTCTCACAAATTTATTTGCACTGACCTTATTTACAGTGACCGCAACGACATAATGATGTTGGCATCACTCAACTTATTTACTACAATAATCGTAACAGTATTATGATTACTGCACTCCTACGGCATTATTGATTATGCGTTTTTAGGACAATATAATTTTCAAATATAAAATTGCGATAGATATTTTTTAATAATTGTTTAACTTTAATAATTGCAAATATTTTCAGGTATTAAATGTTCACTTTGCACCATTTATTTCTCCTACTGCACTTTTCTCTATTTAATTGTGCGATCAGTAATGCATTCGTATTGAGGACAACGGATGTGAAGGTAGAAGAGCGCCTCATTTATGTGCAAGCTGTCTGGCGACATGGTGATCGCGCACCACATCACTTGCCTTATCCAAATGATCTGAACAATGAGCACTCTTGGCCAAGAAAATGGTCTCAGCTAACAAATGTTTGATTTAAATTTCTACAAAAAATTGAAACAAATGGAAATTTATTGAATAATGAATGGTTTTGATTTAGGGAATACTTCAAATCAAATAAAAGAATTTGCTTGTGTGGCATTAAAACTAATCTCTTTAAATATTCATTGCATGTGAATATGGAATTTAAATTCGAAATACTTCCAACTTGGATTTTTCAAGAGTTCAAACTTAGTTTCAATGTAATTCAATTGCTGGACAAATTTCTTTAAGCAAAATGCTATTTTCAATTTATGACTTTTTTAAAGGTTCATGTCCAATATACAAAATAGATTTATTCTATCTATCCATTCCAGTTTACATTCAATGGTTTTGCATCTTATCAACGATAAATTTTTCAAATAAAATGATTTGAATTTTTTCTAAAATTTTTGGATCGATGAAGCTTTAATTTATTGCTGCTAGCTGGTTAAAGATTTTAAACTACAATAAATAAAATCTAATTTTTATAATTTTATTAATTGATTTCTTTGCTACAGTTGGGAATGAAACAACTATATCACTTGGGTATTTTCTTCCGGAAGCGATATAACCGATATATCGAGGAATTCAATCCGGATGATGTAATTATTTTACCGTTATGATGTTTCATTTATTTTATTTATTTTAGATCTAATTAGCTTAGTGCAAAGAATTATAATAATTGCTATTTTAAATATTCCAGGAATTATAATAAGAAAAATGATCTTATTGCAGACAATTATTGCATTCAATATAATTAAATTTGAAGATAATACCAATAAATTTCAGATAAAAATCGTAACATCCTCGTGGAATCGAGCGATCGTTAGTGCTCAAGCTCTATTGCGCGGATTCTTTCCGGTTAACAATACTAATATGCAATGGTTAGAAGATGAGCAATGGCAACCAATTCCTTTTCACAGCGAAAGCATCGAACGGAGTGAACCTGTTAATTAGTTTCTCCCAAATATTCATTATTCCATTTAGTAGAGCTATTTAACTTCATACTGTAACTTTTCAGCTTCTTCATTCGACCTCTCACTCTTGCTCACGTTATGATCAACTTGTAAGAAATGACACTACGATCGCTGATGCGATGATGGAAAAATATGCTGATGCTGTTCACTTCCTTGCAAATGTCACTGGAATTTATGACAGATTAAACTTTGGTCGAATGGCTTCACTGATTGATATTCAACGAGAGGTATAAATCCATTTTACTATTTATAATTCATCTTAAAAGATAGTTTTTTTTGCAACATACTGCTAAAAATATGCACTTTGAAATAATAGTTGGCTATAATTCTAACAAGTCAATGGTTTTTAGATATTTGATAGTTAGTTGTTTTCAAGTGCTTAAATTTATGACAGCTAGTTATCTTCAAGTTTTTTTTTAAAGTTGCCTTTGTGTCGGCTAGTTTAGCTTTTAGCATTTAAAAAATGAGAAGATAGGAAAAAATTCTTTAAAGAAGATGAAAATGTTTGTTATCATATTATGAATTTTTTCATGTTTTTATATGTCTAGAATATTTGATAAAATTTTAGATGAATCATCAACTTCCGCAACCAGAATGGGTTCACCAAAAGTGGCCACAATTTCATAATATGCGCACTATTGATATAATTAAGGAATTTAGTCGTATGAGGCAAATTTCGAAATATAATACTTTTGAAAAAGCTCGACTTAAAGGTGGTTTGCTGCTTGGTGAAATTCTGCATCGATTTCAGAACGTTTCAGCTGGGATCAAA